GTGTGAGAGAGAGGGAGGGGTGTGTGAGAGAGAGAGAGGGGTGTGTGAGAGAGAGAGAGGGGTGTGTGAGAGAGAGAGAGGGGTGTGTGAGAGAGAGAGAGGGGTGTGTGTGAGAGAGAGGGGTGTGTGTGAGAGAGAGGGGTGTGTGAGTTTTCCCTCTTGGCAGCATCTGAATCGTTGGGAGGAATCAATTTCCCTTATCGTTTTCCAAGTTTGATCGGACAAGTTATTCGAGTTATGGACTTGTGATGTCTCATTTGTCAAGAGGAAGTGATATGGATATGCTTAGACTTATATATACTATGACTACGTTCTGATTGGCTATGGAGTTAGTTAAGAAAGTTAATGCAAAATACTCGCCTCCTGTCATTATTAAAATTAAGATTATTAGTACACTGCGCTAGCATAATCTTCAATTACTTTTGTCAAATGAGCATAAGAAGAAGTCTTGACACAACTAAGTTTAACTACTCACAGTCAAGTGGTTCTGAATTGGTCAGGTGCTTTTTAAATTGCTCATTCAGATCCTTGCTGACACCTATATCTTGGAACATCCTCTGAAGTTTCGATGTATATTCAAAACCACAGGCTTGCTGCAAAACAAAACATCAGCATAACCATGGCATCTGACAGCATAGATTTGGTTCATTTACAGTTCTCCTTACTCCAACCTTTGTTTAATGTATGCTTACTCTCACAGCCATTCTGCACCACCAGTACTTTTCAGAACAGTCAAAATAAACTTTACTGCAAATTAAAATGTAGCACGAAATTATATTGTGTGGTTTATTTGCAAAGAGCCAAGTGTTCAAAAGAAATAGGTCATTACTGAAAACACAAAGGGTATAAAAAAAAAAGTGTAAAAAGTGTAAAAAATAAAATAAAAAATCCTTGCCTCTAAGGTAACTACTAAATGTTATGTGGGGCACAGATTGATCAACAAATTAACACCTTTAAGCCCAAGCAAGTCACAAACATGGAAACTGAATGCCTCTCGAGAAATGAGGACAGGATCTAGAAATACATCAGTTTTGAACGGAAATGAGTCCAAAATTCCATTTACACACAAACATGCACCTTTACAGTTGTGAAATACTAGAAATTAGAGTTAAACTACTACAGGTTACAAGAGCCTAAGATGCCAAGCTACATATGTCTGACTACAAATTAACTTAAACCCACAGCGACAAGAGATGTGTATTAAACATGCAAGAATAATTTTGGTTGTGCAGCTGTGAAAAAAAAGACAAACAATTATAGGGACACTATAGTCACCAAAACAACTTTAGCTTAATGAAGTAGTTTTGGTGTATAGATCATGCCAGTCTCACTGCTCAATTCTCAGCCATTTAGAAGTTAAACCACTTTGTTTATGAACCCTAGTCTAACACTTCATATAAAGAGTCATCTAAGGTTTATCCTTTCTTTATTGCAAGTTCTGTTTAATTTAGATTTTCTTAACATCTGCTATGTTAATAGCTAGCTAGACCCTGCAAGAGCCTCCTGTATATAATTCAAGTTCAATTTACAGAGCAAAAGATAAAATTGTTTAAGATATATTACATCTGATTGCAAGTGAAACCAGTTTGTGCAGGCTGTGTCAATCATAGCCAGGGGATGTGTGGCAAGGGCTGCATACACAGAAACAAAGTGATTTAACACCTAAATGGCAGAGAATTGAGCAGTGAAACCTGAGAGGCATGATCTATACACTAAAACGCTTCATTAAGCTAAAGTTGTTTATGTGACTATAGTGTTCCTTTAAAGCATGCATACACTAATTGGTCTCACTTATGCTTCCTTGAAGTGTAGGGTTTGCAGCTATTCACAAAAAACACAGGTATTACCTTGAGTTTGGATATCATGCTTGCTTCTGCATCATCGCTTGCACTGTTCTGGTGAACCAAACGCTTTGCAAGCATCTTTGCATAGAATTTCTGAAAAACATCTTTGTCTTCTATATACTTGAATACCACCATCTGAGAAAGATAAATACTTTTAAATATTTACAAATGATACGTTTAAAAATAAAAATATAATATATATACACATAAATTCAATCTATGTTGCTATGTCCATACTAGCAAAGCACAGCATTCTAGGCATACGATCATCACAAAGTTTCGTGTCTATACTGAACTGTGTTCATTTACAGAACATTTTCATCCATGAATGCGTTCTTGAGGTTTTTCAAACTGTTATTCATTTTTATGGTCATCTTCCACTTTACAGAGTATTTACACTGAAATAAATTTTAAGAATTCTCAAATTCTAGAACACTATACTGCATGGTTACGTCATCTATGCAACTATTGAACATATCACCTCTGTTTAGTCTGAACTCTGGCAAGCTGAAATGACCCTGTCTACCTGTGATTAGAGGGAATTGGTGGGTGGGTGGGTGTGTGTATGTGTCTATATCAAAAATCTACACACAAAAAACAAAAAATTCATCTGACTTTCTGAAATGCTGCTTATTTGCAAAACACAACCATAATTGTGAATGAAAGTCTCTTGTGTTAGATGGTGGTCAGCTGCTTCCTACATACATCTATGGGTTGGTTTTCACGTAAAAAGACAAATAAAATAATTCTCAAAGGGACAATGTAGGCATGATAGCCATGCCATCTCATTGCACAGGTTGAAGTACCTGGATCACCTGGCATTGTACCACTATTCATTGTTAAACCAGTTTCAAGCGGTTTAACACTGAATGGGGGTCCCTAGCTTAACTCTGGATGTATTGCTAAGGCAGAAATTACCACACTTCCTTCTAGCCATACAACTTCATACCTGAAAGCTCACTGTGATAGGCTGAAAGTGGTCAGCTGACACTCAGGCATTTACAGCCACCTATTGCTGTGATGAGGAAGCATTAGACTGAGCAGCACAGGGGAGTGTGATAAGCAGCTGGGAATTCTCATAGCATTAAAACATTAAATACAGTTTAATAGTAAATGAAAGCATGATGCCAGGGGACTCAACACTGTAGCCACTTCAATGAGATAAAGCAGTTCTAAAACGGTCTCTTTAATGAAATATGCAAATAATGTACATTTTATATATCACTATAAAAAATAAATTATTAGGAGGTATATGACAAGGAAATACTGAAAAATATATTGCAAGGCTACATACCACTTGATTTAGAGTATCTTCAAGCTCTGCTTCTTCTGGGTTCTTTGAACTAAAAGAACAAAGATTACATGAACGATGTGTAAAGAATATGTGGCAAACCTAGCCACTTGGACAATATAAAGAGACTGTACCTTTAAGGGTTGCCTGTATGTCGGTGGGGATATGTGTTTAATTATGCATAATGTATGCTGGCTGTAATACTGTGTATTTCCTGTATTTGCTATCTGCCGAATGCAGATAGCTATTTGTATTGGGTTTTCCTTTCGTTTCACGAACGGCACTTTTGCGGGCCGTTCGTGAACCGAAAACACTCTACATAGTAGCCCACACACTTAGAGGCGTGTGGCGCTTGTTAACCGATTGCAACAATGTTGCAATCGGTAATTAGATGCTCTCCTAGGTGGCCGCCGTTCGAATACCAACCATGCGGCGGTCGGCCATCTTGGATCCTTTGTTCCCTCAGTGGTGTTAGGTCGTCGAGCGCATGGTACTAAAAAAGTCTACTCGACGGCGCGAACACTGCTGAGCCTCCAGGCCGTTCGGGAGTTCCGGGCCGTTTGGTATTTCATTGAAGGAAGGCAATCGGTCATTTTAATATGTCTTTTAATAAATGTGTTTTTCGTGCGGCGTTCGGTTGTTTTAGCTGGGATCTGAGTGGTAATCTCACGAATGATGCGCTCAGACCCCAGCTATCTACCGAACGTCCATTCGTTTAAATAGACCGCATATTCATAGAGTTATACATTTTTATACGAATTGTAAGTTCTGCTGCATGGAGGGATAATCCACTTAACGGTATATTCCAGTGGGAGGATCCCTCTCGTGCAGCAGTGCCTAATGGCAGAAATGCCCTGTATTGGAAGTCCCCCATGTAGTCCCCTCTGGGAATGCCCCTGGGAAGGGACTCCGGAAACCCCTTGCATGGGGACTTGTATAAATTTTGGAGCTGAATTAAAAGACCCCAGTTGACTCTCAGAACTGTGTTTCGTCCGGTTACTGGGAGGTTTGGGATATTGCCTTGTTTCCAGCGCTTGACTGTGGATTATTTCCTGAAACAGCGGAATTCGTGGATTTAATATTGGCGTTCCGCTACAGAATACATAAATAGAAAATGTAGAACAGCTCCTGTATTTCACAAGAGCCAGCTACATGCACAATGACAGTAATTAAGGGAAACGGGAACTGTAAAGAATTCAGAAACATTGCACATTTTAGGACAAAATAGCCTGTTTGGAAAAATTCTCCAACTTAGTAATTATTCCAGCTGGATAATTTCAGTACAAAAATTGTACCCCAATTCCCTAATGATCCTCCATGATTTGTGTAGTGAACAAACTCTTCTGTGTTTACATATCCATGCTCACCTCTTCTTTAGCAAAGAGTCACAGTACCGAGCCAGCAACTCTGGGGACTTGCTGGAAGATTGTGCCATTTTTGTTACAGCATTGTTATTTATAAATCGACCACAAGCCTAAAAGAAAGTGTACAAAAAGAGTTTAAATATATTTTATTTATCTTCATGTATCTTATAAGCTACTTCTAAAACTATTTAAGCTAAAAGAACAAATAGATTTATAATTACCTTATCTAGTGCTGCCACAAAGCCAGCATCATTGTTGAACGCTGACATGACTAGTGCATTATATTTTTTGTGTACATCTAGAACGGTCTGTACATACATTTTGGGATCCTGGGACAAGAAGAGAAATATTTGTGGGTCATTTGATGCAATAAACCATATAAAAGCACATTATTTTAAGAAAGTTATTAGTAATAATGGATCCCATTGCACATTGCACATATTGAAATAGGGATAATATACAGAAATCAAAAAGAGCTCCTACAGCTGCACCTGAAAAATAGCCAATTGTATTAGAGGTAATCAGCAAAGAAACCTAATTTGTACCTCTCTATCATGCACATGTGAAAACTACAGGAAGCAGCAACTGTCAGCTACCAGGGCAACGTGCAGGAATGTCAGATGAAGACAAAGAAGGTCAAAGGGCCGCAATAAAAACAGATTACAAGTCTAAATAAAAGACATACGTTTTGTGCAGCTTCCCCACATTTTTCTATAGCTGCAAGTCCTTGGTTGTGAATATGTGTTTCTAACAATTTCTTCAATTCACCCAGACCATCTTGAATTCGAGATACAAGATTGTACATTCGACCCAAGTCTGTTAAAAAAAGCAAACTTCCAGTAAGGTGCAATAATCTTCAGTAAGAGCAATAATCTCAGTGCCAGAACACAATAAAATGCTACTTAAAACAAAATACCAATGTATTATTACAGTAATTTAGAAAATTGGAATACTAGATGGGCCGAATGGTTCTTATCTGCCGTCACATTCTATGTTTCTAATGGCAAATCATGCCGATTTCAACAATACTAAACACTATAGCGTCAGGAACACAAGCCTGTATTACTGACCCTATAGTGGTAAAACTACCCCCCCCTCCTCCCCTGGAAAAGCCCCTGATCTGCCTCTTTGGTTGACATTAGAATTTATTTCAGCCAATACAATGATTTTCCACAATGAAAGCATTGGAATGGCTATCGCCACCAAGGAGGCTGGGCAGGGCCAAATGCCACCCTGGTCAATCAGCAGCACCTCATAAGTTTTAATTTAACACTGCCTTTTCTCTGACTGTATTTACATTAAAATGCCAGCAGGAACAGCATATAGTCACCAGAACAACTACATTAAGCGGTTTTTGTTGCAGTGACTCTAGTGTCCCTTTACATTGCACAGGAATTAAATATGTTTTTACAAAGTGCTGAAAATCTCATGCTGAAAAGTATACAAATGAACTCCATTAAGCAATGTACTCAATCACATACATAAAAATCTACCCAATAATTAACTAAGAATATATTGAAAAAGGCTGGCGTATGAACCCTCAGAGAAAAAAAGAAAGGAAAAAAAAAAAGATTGGACATTTATATACATGCGAGCTTCAGTTTGTATTGAAATATAAAAAATATTCCTGTTGGTGCAGGAATTGTGAATAATACAGTACAAATAATAGAATGTGTTACCTTCATTTTTGTCAGCATCTAATAAATTCTGAAACTCTGTGTGGAAGATCTCTAGGTGTTTTTCAATTAACACTTGTTCACATTTCCGTGCCAGTTCATCTTGTGTGCTTTCATGAAGGTATACTTGCACTCTGCGCTGCTCCTCCAGAAGCCGTGCTTCTGCCTAGAAGTAAAAAAACAAATTGCACAAATTTATACCGTCATTAAAGCAAGCATCATGCAGGTTAAGGGTGAGGTTGGATGTTAGAATGTTAAAGGCTTCATACCTCTCCTTCTAGCTTAATTAGTAATAAAAAGTTGCTGAACATAGGACTAGCAAAAAGGACCACCAGAGGGACTAGGGCAATCTGACCATTCTGAGAAGTGCTGTCTGACCAAACCTGCAAAAACTCAGTCCAAAGACAACCTGTACTGGCTACAATCAGGTAATGTAATATTAACTCTACTCACAAGAATCGGTAACACGAAGCAGGTATGTCCACCTTGGGTTCTGGCTTCTAGGCCTATTAATACTATTCCAAATATAGGTTTTTAGGACTCTACCGTTCAAAAGTGTGAGGGGAATACTGAATGAGAGTCCAAATATGAACTCTGTCTACATACGAAGCCTGAAATTTTGAAGCCCATTAAACTCAAAGGGAACAAGACTTTGTAACTCCATTCAGTTGACTCTCGAAGATCTTATAATTTAGGTCAGGGGTCCTCAAACAGGGGGCCAGTTCACGGTCCCACAGACACAGTTGGGGGCAGGACTATAGTTTGAAAAGAAATATGAACTAATTCCTATGCACACTTCACATTTTATTTGTAGTGCACAAAAAAAAAAAAAAAACCCCAGGAAAAATATTTAAAATTAAGAACGATTTTAATCGACATAAACTTATAAGTATTTCAATGGGAAGTATGGGCCTGCTTTGGCCAATCAATATCTGCTAGCTGTAGCAAGTAATGCAAGTGTTCATCAGCTAGTCTGGATCTGGTTGGAGATTTCTGATGTTTCATTTGGGAAGACATAGGTGCTGCCAGAGATGGTTGCAATTTTTGAGTACATGGTTCCTGGGATTAAGAGGTCTCATAGGGGAGAGATGCATAGAAATTAAATTAAATGGTTGTGTTTGTCCATCTCTTTGTTAATGTGTGCAATCACTCATTTCACAGACCCCACCATGCCAGGAGCACCATCAGTTGTCACACTGGCTAGTTTAGCCCAGCCCAACTCCAAATCATTCACAGTTTGGCAAACTGTTTATAGTTATCCACTATAAAAAGACAATTATGGTTGTTTTGCAAACCTTTCCTTTGCCTTAGACAAAATCTTCTTTCTTCCAGTCTAAACACATGACCTCGTGTCCTATGTAAAGTCCGGCTTATGACACAAAGTCATGATTTAGACTGGAAGAAAGAAGATTTCCTCTAAGGTAAAGGAAAGGTTTTTTTTTTACTGTAAGAACAATAGGGATGTTGAATTCTCTGCCTGAAGAAGTGGTTTTAATCAGAGTCCTTAAAGATGTTCAAACAGGATGTTCAGTGAACTACATTTACCTTGATATGTAGCTAGCCAGAGCCGGACAGATGGTTATGGGAATTGTAGTTCCATAGTTGAAACCTGGTATAGGCATGCCCAAACTAGCCCATGACAGCTGTAGCTGTAACGTCTGTTTGTGATAGGCTGTCTGTGTGCCAACCGAATATACCATGATGCAGACCCAAATGAAAACCCCTCTTTGAAAGAGTTCTTCCAACTACCAAAATACTCCAGTGCTCAAGGTATCCATAGTGAGCTGGTTTACACCTAACACTAGTTCTCCCTCTCACAGATCTCCTTCTCATTCAGATGTCCATCTCACCCAGGTCTCCCTCTCTCCTTGGTGTCCGACTAATCACCCATTATCCAAGTCTCCCTCTCAATCCAAGTCTCCATCCTACCCAAGTGTCAGGATGAAAGGCGTGCCCGGTCTGCTATCCAGCCGCCTTTCCTCCAGTGATAACCCTTTGCCTTATGCCTGTTGTGTTTCCCACACTGTCCTATTGTTCCCCTAGACGAGTGCCCAGGCGCGGAGAGGCTGTGTCTTATTTTGGCAAGACAGTGGCAGGTTCAGGACCCTGGCGTGCCGGATCTGGCCAGCGGGCCGTAGTTTGAGGATTTAGGTTAACGGCAGGCAGTATATTACTTGACGATGCGGTGAACTTTGGGGGACAGATACTATGTGCTGTCCACATGTAGACTTTTTTATTTTTATTTTTAAATATACAACAGGCACAGATGGCTTAAATAAGCCTGGTCACAAAAAAGGTAAATTCTCCATTTATTATTGTTGGCAATTATACATGGCTAAATTATATTGCAGCACATTACAATGTTATGAAAGGAACTCTATAGCGTTGGGAATACAAAACTGTATAGCCAACACGATTGTGTCCTTATGCACTAAGGTGATTGTGAATATATTTTATTTAAATACATACACACAAAAACTCAACTAGCTATTCAATGCCGTAAGCCTTAATTTTATGACTTAAGGTTACGCTTACCTTTTTCATATATTCTGTGACTGGATTCTGCTGTAGAAACTCTGTACTCTCTCTTGTGTAAAATCTCTCTGTGTCAGCCAAAAACTGAGACTCAAAAGACTCTTTGTAAACGGTCAACGTCGGGCCTTTGGCAAAGGCATCGTCTTCATTCAAGCCTAACTCAACTGTAGATAAAGAGATACGGTTACTGCATTGATTCCACTCCACTACCATTACATTCATTTGCATTTGCCTGTAAATGAAACCAGGATATTTAATTTGCATTTATTTTCTTATGCGCCTTGGCCATCGTCTGCTAGTTTGGAATACTCATATTAACTTTTTCTTAAGTCATCTGCCTTGGGTGAAAAAATATAGAGTTCAGAGTAGGCAATAGAATCTGTCCATAAGGAAAATCTCTCTTATACGCATTTTGGAGCAGACTGTGGGATCCTCATGAAGATTTAACAATGTTCTTTGAAAGCTTTATTTATTTATTTAAACATTTATTTGTAGATCAAGGCCTTTTCTCTAGTTCTTTTTTACAATGAAAAGCTGGCAAGAGTAGCAGCTCAGGACCTTTTAAAGTAGTTTAGATTTGAAAAAAACATCTGCCCCTTAAAGTAATATGCAGAACCTCTAAATGCTCAGAGAAAAATCAAGCAGAGGAAATAGTTTCTTAAAAAGACACTCTTAGCACCATAACCACTACAGCTTATCGGAGTGGTGATTATGGCTAACTAGAGTATCCCTTACACGCTGCTGGTGGGGAGGTGATTCAAACTGTATACATAAAATACAAGCAAAGGCCTGCTCTGCTTGACTCTTTAGATTTGTTTAGACCTGTGGACAATACATTGTATCCTGCTGAAGCTCACAAAATATTTTATTATAATATATACACACACATTTGTATACAACATATATAATTTTTTTTCTATGCCTCTCTTCAGATATTGTGATATAAGAAACGTGATACACTATGTCAAAGGGTCTAGGGGTGCGGTGCTGTGGGGTAAGGGTGCTGTGCCGTGGGGTATGGGTACAGCTGTGGGGGTAAGGGTGCTGTGCTGGGGGTAAGGTGCTGTGCTGTGGGGGTAAGGGTGCTGTGCTGTGGGGGGTAAGTGGTGCTGTGCTGTGGGGGGTAGGGGTGCTGTGCTGTGGGGGGGGATAGTGCTGTGGGGGGGGATATAGGGGTGCTGTGCTGTGGGGGACAGGGGTGCTGTGCTGTGGGGGATAAGGGTGCTGTGCTGTGGGGTAAGTGGGTGCTGGGGATAGGGTGCTAAAGGGGGATAGGGGGGTGCTGTGCTGGGGGGATAGGGTGCTGTGCTGGGGATAGGGTGCTGTATGGGGATAGGGGTGCTGGGGGGGGGATAGGGTGCTGTGCTGTGGGGGGATAGGGTGCTGTGCTGTGGGGGGATAGGGGTGCTGTGCTGTGGGGAAGGGGTGCTGTGGGGGATAGTGGGGGTGCTGTGCTGTGGGGGGATAGGGTGCTGTGCTGTGGGGGGGGGATAGGGGTGCCAGCTGTGGGGGATAGGGGTGCTGCTGTGCTGTGGGGGATAGGGGTGCTGTGCTGTGGGGATAGGGGTGCTGTGCTGTGGGGGGATAGTGCCAGCTGTGGGGGGGATAGGGGTGCTAGCTGTGGGGGATAGGGGTGCCAGGCTGTGGGGGGGATAGGGTGCTGTGCTGTGGGGGGGATAGGGGTGCTGTGCTGTGGGGGGATAGGGGTGCCAGCCAGGGGGATAGGGTGCCAGCTGTGGGGATGAAAAGAAGCTGTGGGGATAGGGTGCTGTGCTGTGGGGGGATGGGGGTGCTGTGCTGTGGGGGGATAGGGGTGCTGTGCTGTGGGGGGGGATAGGGGTGCTGTGCTTTGGCGGGGATAGGGGTAAAGATACATTTAAAAAAAAAAAAAGTTATATTAATTCTGTATCCCCCCCTCCCTTCCTCTTACCTTTGGTGAAGGAGTGGGGACACAGCCATCCCTGTATTGTAGGAAGCAGCTCCTCTGCTCTGTCCTCCCGCGCGATGCTGTGTGGAGCGTTGCCGCAGTAACGCGCAGCAACGCTCCACACAGCTTGCTCGCAAGAGGATAGGAGAGCTGCTCCCTAGAGCCCTCCCTCTGCCTCCCGACCCAGAAGCAGAGTAGGCGCCTTCCGTTTCGGGCAGACAGGTGCCTACTCTGCAGACAGCCTGCGGCCCCCTCTTCCGGCGACCTATGGCCGTGGGCCCACACAGAGGGCCTGGCGTGCCACCTGTGGCACGCATGCCATAGGTTCACCATCAGTGGTCTAGAAGAAACCTTACCGTAAGACTGTACAACTCCACTGATAAGTCTGGTGTTTATTGTTTCTCCATTTCGCTCCTTCTCAATCAACTTCAGCACAGCATTTGTCACCTTTGAAAAGTAGCCAACAAATACATTTGGTTAGAATGGTGAGTTAATGTTGCGTGGTACACTTCCTGGACATACATTAAATCCTAAAATATTAGTTCAGTCTTTAATGTGTATATACACACACACACACACACATTTTAATATAAGCTTTACATATATACTTTACATAAAAAGAAAATTAAAGAATTAAAGGTAGACTTGACTTCCATTTACATGTTTTATATTGGGGGGGACCTTCACCCATGGAGACTGAGTATTTTTTTAGTAAATAACCTTTGTCTCCAGTTTTAAGTAAAGATTTATATAAAATACAGTTCAGTTGTCCGATATTAGAGAGCTTGTATTACCGTGTCATCATAAACATAAATTAAACCAATCATGTGGATGTGTACACCATCAAAACTCATGAAAACACTTTTTGCACTTCTAGTATATTTTGTGAGAAATAGAGTACCTGTATGGACAATGACTTCAATTACTACTATACTACTATATATTACTACTATTTACTACTACTACTATATATTTATAGAATAATAAATTAAATATTCACCTGTTTATTCAAGGGTCGGAAGAGACAATCCCTCCAAGTAACTAATGCAAGCTGAGAAGGAGGAAAGAGTGAAAAAAGTTAAAATGTATTGTCAAGCATCTGCAAGGCAGACTAAGAAAAAAAAAAATACCAAGCCTAAAAGTAAAACCATCACTCAAGCAGCACATTTCCCAAGTTTACTCCTCAAGCACTGCCATTTTAAGTATCCCATAGATGGGGGCTGTGCTTGTCTGACCAAAGAGGACTCTGATTTGACCAACACATTTCAGTGTTATCGCCAGGTACATTCTTTGCCCAATAGAAGTCAGATTGGTATTGCAAAGGTTATGCTACCAGTATTACCAAAGGGACATACATCCCCCTGATGACAGCTGATACCATCACAATGCGTGCTGCCAGGAGAGAAAAAGTGATCATAGTCTATTAGGTGTTCTAAAGACCCAAGATCACTTAAAGGAACAAAAACCTGTATTCCTGACCATATATTGTTAAAAACACCATCTAGCCCCTCTGACCCACTAAATATGGTATAATCTTACCCTTACTCCAGTCTACTGCTGCTTGCTCTGCCCCTGATCCACCTGCTTGGCTGACATCAGAGGTGTTGCTCAAAACCAATCACAATAGTTCCCATACTAAAGTATTGGATTGGCTAAGAATGTTCAGGAGGCAAATCAGGGGCAAAGTTAGCACAAGTCAAACACAGCCCTCGCCAATTAGCATCTCCTCATAGAGATGCATTGAATCAAACGAGCCATTTACACCTAACACTAGGTCTCCCTCTCACCTAAGTGCCCCTCTCTCACGGGTCTCCTTCTCATCCAGATGTCTATCTCACCCAGGTGCCCCGCTCTCCTAGGTGTCCGACTCATCTCACATAATCCAAGTCTCCCTCTCAATTCTAACAGTTGAGTTAGAATCAATGCATCTCTATGAGGAACGTTCAGTGTCTTCATGCAGATGGTGGAGACACGGAATGTCAGTGCTGGATATTGTGCAGCACTGCCCCAGGAAGCATCTCTAGCAGCCATCTGAGGAGTGGTCACTGGAGGTATCCCTAGGTTCTAATGTAAACATTTCTCTGAAAACACAGTGTTTACTGCAAAAAGCCTGGGGAGAATGATTATACTCACCAAAACAAATACAATAAGCTAAAGTTGTTCTGGTGACTATAGTAGTCCTTTAAAAACAACAACTTTCTTTTTAAAATTATATATATTTGTATTTAAATAATTCAACCCAGTTTTTATAGGGGTGTTCAGCAAGATTAAACAACTTTATTTCAGTAACTTGTGTGATAATACATGAAACACTCAAAGACTTACGGAGTAAATTTCATATATTCCTTTTCTGCCTTCATCACACTCACGTCGAACCCAGTGTCGATTGAGGTATGCACAGATACCGTTCAAAACTTTGCTTGAAAACCGATAATCTTCCCATTGTTGGGTGTAAAATTTTAATACACTTTCATCCATTAAATCCTCTCCATCCTGAAAATAGCAAAGAAAATTTGGATTCTCAAGAAATATAAAGAAAAAACAGACTTAATGGAACATATAACGCAGCTGGCTCATTTAATCTACCAAAGACATATCTAAATACAGGCTGTTAGATGATGTATATTTCTTTTAAATTCACACCATTAATTACTCTATATCAAATCTGCTGCAAAGCTATTCAAATATCTACAACTCATTCACGCTTCCGATTAAACAAAGTCTAGACCTTGCTACTTTTTCCAAGTTTTGTACTCTCTTCTGCTATTAGAACTAGTTAAATCTCTTATATCTGCAAGTTTAAAGCGCTTAAGCTTCACACGTTAATATAGCGATAAACAAGAAATACATATGCATAGCAATATAGAAAAATATTTTTTTTCACCTGTGAATTAAATACAAAGAGAAGACAAGAGAAAGACTGTGGACCTCAATGCTAAATTTCCCTAGAGACAGATCACAACTTGCAAGGTTTACTAAAGTCCTGCAAATTTTTCCATATTGATGCATTACAAATTTGTTCAGGAGATTCAAGGATTGGTAAAAACCTTGAAGGATGTAGCTATGGGTCTGGGTACTACCATCAGGTGCTCTATCCACAGAAATTCCCTTTTGAGACATTTGCCAGGCCCACATGATTCAGCTCTAGTATTTAGTTGTGTATAAAAAAAAAAAAAAAGGACCACTATAGGCACCCAGACCACTTCAGCTTAATGAAGTGGTCTGGGTGCCTGGTCCAGCTAGGGTTAACCCCTTTTTTTATAAACATAGCAGTTTCAGAGAAACTGCTATGTTTATATTAGGGTTAATCCAGCCTCTAGTGGCTGTCTCATTGACAGTCGCTAGAGGGCTTCCGCGCTTCTATTAGATTTTCACAGTGAGAAGACGACAGCGTCCATAGGAAAACATTGTGAATGCTCTCCTATGGACTGGCTGAATGCGTGCGCGGCTCTTGCCGTGCATGCGCATTCAGCCGGTGACGGAAGAAGAGGGAGGAGAGGAGAGCTCCCGGCCGGCGCTTGAGAAAGAGGTAAGTTTAACCCTTTCCTTCCCCCCAGAGCCCGGCGGGAGGGGGTCCCTGAGGGTGGGGGGCGCCCTCAGGGCACTATAGTGCCAGGAAAACGAGTATGTTTTCCTGGCACTATAGTGATCCTTTAACATGCATGTATTCCTGACCCCATAGTGTTAAAAACACTATCTTAAATGTAGTAAAATCTTACCTTTATTTCAGTCTGCTATTGCTGGCTCTGCCCCTGAGCTGCATGCTTGGCTGACATCATCAGAAGTTATGATCTGAACCAATCAGAATGCTTTCCCAGTGGAAAACATGGATTGGCTGAGACAATCAATAAGGCAGATCAGGATCAGATCTAGCACAAGCCAAACACAGCCCTGGAATCTCCTCAATCAATGCATCTCTATGAAGAAAGTTCAGTGTCTACATGCTTAGGGTGGAGACACTGTGCAGCACTTCTAGTACCCATCTGAGGAGTGGCCAGTGGAGGTATATTCCTAAGCTGTTAACACTGCCTTCTCTCTGAAGAAAAATAAATAAAATAGCGTTTACTGTAAATAGTCTGAAGGGAATGATTATACTCACCAGAACAAATACAATAAGCTGTAGTTCTGGTGACTATTGTGTCCATTTAAAGCTATGTGTACTTTGTGTAGACTTGCATGCAATTTAGAGCAGATGACGAGCTGCACATTTTTGATGTTAAAGGAACATGATAGTGTTAGGAATACATGTTTCTATACCTAACACTAGTGTTCTTCTCACTATTTAGATGTTTAGCCTCCCTTGAAGAGTTAAAAATTCGATTTTTTTTTTTATTTTATCCTGGGCATGTTGCCCTCAACAGATCAATCTTAATGAACTTGGACAATCAAATGCTTCAACAGGAATGCAATGGAAGGCAAGTGCGCATACGCAGCATTTTGCCGTGCTGTTCCAATCAACTGCTCTTTATATACAAACCCTGCAATGAAGACACTACTGTATCTACTAAAAGGCAATATTTGACATTGCATAGCTAAAACCAATACCACTTCATCTCAATGGCTGTAATATTTGTAATACTGTGTAATAGCTGGAAATGTTTGCTTATGACTTAACAGTGTACATTTTTTTCACCAAGGCAAAGTAGCACTATTACTATGTATTATGAGAAGTGTTTTCTAGAGCACACTTGTTTAGCATTGTCAGTCAAGAGCAATGCACTAAGAACGAACATGTGGCTATGATTTAGCATACTTTTTTTTTTTTTGAGTACCATTTGAGAAATCCGTGAACATTGTCCAAAAAACAAAACAAACCACTCCTTTTGATTGTCAATATAAGAATGGACCGACTATAGACACCAAAATAACTACATTAAGCTGTAGTTATTCTGGTGACTAGAGTGTCCCTTTAAATATCCGAGTAAAAGTGGCAAAGTAGAATAGTAGCTGCAAAACCTGTGGCTGGCAGGACACTAGGTGCCAAGAGGAAGATGCCTTTGTTTTACAGATCAGTTCTCTGCCTAGATAGGAGTCCCTCTCTGAAGTTCTTCTGAGTGATATAGTGAGAAACAGCAATACTTCTAAACTAGCACACTAGGCGAGACGAAAATCTCCCCAATAATGCCCGATTTATAACTATGCTTAGATAGAAAATGCAAGCATAAAACCAAATGTGTGAAAAACTAGTATTTCAAAACAGATGCCAACAATTACAAGAATGCAGGACAATAAACATACCATACAATATGATGTAATCACGTAGTCTGTCCTGGATAATGACTAAGAGAAAATACGAACATAGGGTAACGTAATATACAAGAAAACAAAGATATATCACAAGTGATTACTCATAAGGATGGAGTCGAGATTAGGCTTGATGAATATGCAGTGTGTGGTTTGGGTCCACACTCCCCTCTTTAGTTGTAGCAGGAATATGGTGCCAAGTGTATAATTAATAATATATTTATTGAATATTAAAACAAATATAACAAATTGGCAACTCTCACTTTTGCCAGAACGCATTTCGTCACTTACATACAGGGCTTCATCAGCTGGGCAATTAGTAGTGTGGACCAAGAGTTTGGCCCCAAACCACACACTGCATATAGATCGAGCATAATATCGGCTCCATCCTTGTGAGTATTCACTTGTGATATAGCTTGGATTTCTAGTATATTACGTTACCCTATGTTCGTATTTTCTCTGAGTCATTATCCAGGACAGACTACAGGATTACATCATTAAGTTGAGAATAGTCACCCAAAGCTGTTCCCACTAGAGCAAAGTGATTAACTCAAGAAAGTGTGAGTGTTAATTTGTCTCACCAAATATACCCCAATATTGCTATACACTGATCAACATTATTGTATATCATTTTATGTTTTTACGGTTAAAGGTTTTTACACGTTTAAAGAAAAAAAGTATTTTCTATTGATGCAAAGATGCTCGTTTGAAAGGAATTGTATGTATCCCATTTATCTCACTTGTTAACTGCAACTAAGCACTACACTGTATTTTTGTTTTGAGGTTTATTGATGGGGTGTGAATGAGGGGAGAACATCACACTGGGTAAGCAGCTAAAAAGTTAAACAATTGGTATTCACAATTGGAAAATTCTCTTTTAACCCCTTCCCGACTGAGGACGTACTAGGCACGTCCGACAAACAGTCCTTAAGGACCGCGGACGTGCCCAGTCCCTCCCCCTCGGCAATTCCTAATTACTTACCTGATCGCCGCCAATTGGCGTTCCTATCATTCTGGGCAGACCGACAGCCCAGAGAGTCCACCCTCGGCAGATTAAGTCCCCACGGACCATTTGATCGCTCAAATACACACCAATTAAGCCATAAGACTTGGTTTTCCCACAGAAATCTCACTTTAACAGTGCTTTCACTACCGCAAGGGATTCTGGGTAGGCGTATGCAAATGAGCTCAACAAAACCATGTTTTTGCCTCAATTCCACTTTATACATGGATTCCTTGAAGTATGTGTCTGCTGTATACAACAGCTTTAATACACAACTCAGCAAGAGTAGCAAAGCAAGTGAACCACTCATGGACAGCTGTTTCGTTGTTAATGCAACTCATGAGCACGAGCTCATTTGCATACGCTTACCCAGAATCCCTTGCGGTAGTGAAAGCACTGTTAAAGTGAGATTTCTGTGGGAAAACCAAGCTTTATGGCTTGACTGGTGTGTGTATTTGTGTTTAAATATATATATATATATATATATATATATATATATATATATATATATATATATATATATATATATATATATATATATTAAAATAAAAACACACACGATTCAACTAGGAAAGTCCTTGTAAATACACAAATAATATAAAACATATTGCAGTGGTGATATTGTCAGTGAAAGTGACTTTTCACACACACACTGATATTGCTATGATACGTTTTACGGTTTTGAAACACTAATATTTGTGTTCAGCTAAGTTTCCCGATTTTAACAGTACCCCCATGTACATGTTTTATAGTATTTTTGAAAGTTACAGGGTCAAATATAAGGCATGATTTTCATTTTTTTCACATTGAAATTTGCCAGATTGTTTTTGTTGCCTTTGAGAGCGTAATGTAACACAGGAATGAGAATTACCCCCTTGATGGCATACTATTTGCAAAAGACGACAACCCAGGGTATATAATATGGGGTATGTCCAATCATTTTTAGTAGCTACTTGGCACTGGCCAAAAGTAGCGTTCATAATAGTTTTTTCGCATTTTTAAACACACAAATATAAATGCTAATTTTGGCCAGTGTTTGTGACTAAGTGGCTACTAAAAAAGACTAGACATACCCCATATTGAATACCCTGGGTTGTCTAAAAAAAAAAAAATATAATATATAAAATATAATATATATATATATATATATATTTTTTTTTTTTTTTTGAGGTGTGATTCAGATTTATGACAGATAACAGTGTTACAATGTCACTATTAAAGGACCACTATAGTGCCAGGAAAACATACTCGTTTTCCTGGCACTATAGTGCCCTGAAGGTGCCCCCACCCGCCAGGCTCTGGGGAGAAGAAGGGGTTAAACTTACCTCTTTCTCCAGCGCCGGGCGGGGAGCTCTCCTCCTCCTCTTCGGCTGAATGCGCATGCGCGGCAAGAGCCACGGGCGCATTCAGCCAGTCTCATAGGAAAGCATTTACAATGCTTTCCTATGGACGCTGGCGTCTTCTCACTGTGAAAATCACAGTGAGAAGCGCGGAAAGCCCTCTAGCGGCTGTCAATGAGAGCCACTAGAGGCTGGATTAACCCATTTATAAACATAGCAGTTTCTCTGAAACTAAGTTTATAGAAAAAAGGTCATTAACCCTAGCTGGACCAGGCACCCAGGCCACTTCATTAAGCTGAAGTGGTCTGGGTGCCTTTAGTGGTCCTTTAATGCATTTAAAAAATATATATATTTTGAAACAGCAAGGTCTTAAATTTAGAAACTATTTAGCACAGGTGTTTTTTTGGCAGTTGTAGATGCGCAACAGATTTGGTGGTCAAAGTTAGAAAAATTGTGGTTTTTTTAATCATATTTTATAATTGTTTTATAGTAGATTATATGATATGATGAAAATAATGGTATCTTTAGAAAGACCATTTAATGGCGAGAAAAATCGGTATATAATATGTACGGGTACAGTAAATGAGTAAGAGGAAAATTACAGCTAAACACAAACACCGCAGAAATGTAAAAACAGCCCTGGTCCCAAACGGTAAGAAAATTTAAAAAATGGTCTGGTCACTAAGGGGTTAAAATAAGCACTAATACAGGTCACTACTTTTGTATACCATACAATACGTCAGTTTCTATAACTGCTATTCTGAATTAGATTGCCAATTCATCCATAGAAACATCTGAATTTTCTTACAAACTTGTGCTTGGCAACCTGCTGACAAAGGTTAGCAGAAGAGCTTACCTTGAGGAGGTTTGTCAAGTAATTCTTCAGGAATTCTTTTAGTCGTTTGTACAGTTCCAGCCCTACAAACTGGGCTCCTCCAGGTGTCTGTCCTTTTTTTGATTTTGACTGAGGTAAGCCAGCTCCTCGTGCTTGATTTGACTGATGTACACTGGTGCAGTAGTTATAAACGTGACTAAACTTTTATGTCAAGGAATAAATGGAAGTTATATTAGGTGTATAGACGCCAAACAGAAAAAGGACATTTGCAAATGGAAAAGGAAAAACAAAAAAAAGTTATATATCTATAACAGTTAATTGAGGGGGAATTAACTGCAAGCTTTTAAGCCTCAATTCAGTTTTTAATTCTCATAGCCAAGGACTAACCCCAAAGTGACAAAATAAAAATACCATGTTTCCCCACCATTATATAGAAGTTCAAGTATATCAGTCGAAGAGCCTCCGTACCCATCTCCAACACTTTCTATTCATAAACCCACAGTCTCTAAATCATTGAAACAATGAGAGATAACGTCAGGACATTTTACAGTTACAAGTTTTTTTTGTGCATGTGCCATTTTCTTAAAGGGATGCTATAGTCCCAGAAATACAAAGCTGTATTCCTGGCACTATCGTTCCTCCCCTCGTCCCTCCCTCACGTGCACATCCCAAGGTAAATAAAAAGTTAAAAACTATTTACTTACCTGATCCCAGCTCCCTTGTCCGTCGGCGCAGGGTCAACGCTCCGCCTTCTCCGACGTCCCGCGCACGCATTGGACCTCCCCATAGGAAAGCACTGAATCAATGCTTCCCTATGGGGAAAATCTAGCGCTGATGCCCTCTTGCAGAGCGTGAGGACGTCCAGAGTCAGATACCGGACCAAAGGTCAGTTTCAATCCAGGAAGCCCTCTTGTGGATGTCTGGGAGAGAAACTGCATTGTTTAACATTGCAGCACTAAGTGAAAAAGGGACAGTGCACCCAGACCACTTCAATAGCCAATGTGGTCTGGCTGCCTACAGCATCCCCTAAGGAGAAAATAAATAAATGCACGTGGGAATTTAGCGAAACTATAGACTTACATACGTGCAACAAGCACATGATACAAGAGATGGATTAATGTAGTTTGGAAGCAAATTAGAGATAGCCACAAACGAGAAGGACTTGGGAATTGTTATAGACAAACTATGCAACAATGTGCAATGTCAATCAGCAGTGGCTAAGGCCAGTAAGGTATTGTCACGCATGAAAAATGGCATTAATTCTCGGGATGAGAATATCATTTTGCCTCTTTATAAATCGCTGGTAAGACCACATCTTGAATATGATGTGCAATTTTAGGCACATGTTCTAAAGGAGGATATTATGGCACTAGAAAGAGTGCAGAGGACGGCTCTAAAATTAATAAAATGAAGAGAACATTTTAGCTATGAAGAAAGGTGAACAAATTTTAACCTCTTTTAGTTTAGGAAAAACGTTGCCTCAGAGGGGATATGACAACATTATACAAATATATTCGTGGCCAATACAAACCATTGTGTGGAAATCTATTCACAAACAGGATTTTGCATACGACATAAGGTTATGCGTTTAGACTGGAAGAATGAAATTTAAGTCTAAGGCAAAAGAAAGTTTTTTTTTTTAACCATAACAATAAGGATATGGAATTCTCTGCCTGAAGAAGTGGTTTTATCAGAGTCCATACAGATGTTTAAACAACAACTAGATGCATACCTGCAAAAACAGAATATTCAAGGATATAATTTTTCAATGTAGGGTAAATGCTTCTTGATCCAAGGATTAATCTGACTGCCATTCTGGGGTGAAGAGAGTATATATTTCCTAGTATGTAGCAAAATCGGAAGTGCTTCAAAACGTTTTTTTTTGCCTTCTTTTGGATCAACAGTAAAAAAACAAATATGAGGAACGCTGAACTTGATTGACACATGTCTCTTTTCAGCCTATGTAACTAGTTTAAGTCTATATCCAGTCCCTGCACGCTTTTCAGTGTAAACACTGTCTTTTCAGATAAAAGGCAGTGTTTACATTGCTGCCTAGTAACACCTCTAATGACAGTCACTCAGATGGCCACTAGATGTACTTCCTGGGTCAGTGCTGCACTGTGCAGCCCCTACATTAAAGATTCCCATAGGGATGCAATGCATCTCTAAGAGCAGTTGATTGGCGCAGCATTGCATTTTGTCTTGCATGCGTAATAGTCTCCCAATGATTTCCTATGGTGAAACATTGGATTGGCAGAGATCGTCAAGACTGAGGATTTCAGCTGTAGAGGTGGGGCTAGCCGCGGCATCATGAGCACTGCTTGGGAAAAATGGCGAGTAAAACGTCACCTAAACAAACACTCACAGACTGACAGACACACACAGACCAACAGAGATTTGGTACACAGAGACACACTCACAAATGATATGTTTATTTTAAACATGTCCACCCAGCCTCAAACAGGTTCTACCTATGGGACAGCTGGAGTGGTTCAGCTGCTCTGCTCCCTAGAGCGTCGTTTAGTGATGCAGGGGTCAGAGGGACATCATATTCCAGGTCCAGCATCACTGCAGGGCACCTTCACAATCAGCCACCCGCCTCCCTGAGCTCTCCACAAGTTGCCTGTCCACATGCCTGTCACAAATCCCAGGCGTCAGGACAAATTTCCTGGTCGTCATGGCGACCTGGGTTTGTCGAGCCCTGGCTTAGCTCAATAAATTAATTTGATGCTTAGCCAATGAACTTAAAGCAAACTCGGCATCAGAGTTAAAGCAAACTCTGCATCAGAACTAGAAGTGCTAGCTAGGGAGTTCATAGCAACCCCAGTGCATAGTGTCAGGAACACAAACTTGTATTTCTGACCCCATAGTGTTAAAAACCAGTCAGCTGGGGGGCGGGGCTTTGGAGCAAAGCTGAACAGACTCCATATCTATCAGCTTCCAACCTTGCAGCACCTAATCAGCAACTATCCCGGGCATCATACTCGACTAAGCTAAGCCCACAAAGTGACAGCGGAACAGATCGATGCCTTTCTTTCAGCCACCAAAGACAGGCAATGTGAAAAGTAAAAACCGGGCCTACCTCACGTCGGCAAGCCACAGTTTGGAGACTCTCCTAGGCGGCATCGGGGCGCACTACAAGCTAGATCCAGAGGAGAAAGACATTCTAACACCTAGCGACACCTCTGCAACAACGAGGCGCCGCACGCAGAAGCTGCAGCCGGCCTCAGCCGCCGACCAGCCAGACATCGGAGTGATGTTACAGAGGCAAGCACCACCCAAGATGGCCGCCACAGAGGCCTCCCCAGCTCAGACACTGACAGCTCACTCGCCGGAGCAGCGAGCGGAGACTGGAGTATGCAAAACACACTCCCGGCCCACAGAGACTCAAGGGACCATACCTTCGCCATAAAACAAAAACCTGCAGCAATGGATGCATGAGATAGAGAACTTGCTGGCCGCGGATATCGAAACCCTGAAGGCAGACGTGCGCCAAACTACTGAGTGGGTGAGCGCTATGGAAAGGGTCATTCAAACACTAAACAGCGGGGTATCGAATCTTACAGACGCCCTGCAATCTCTGCAAACAGCCCACAAAGCACTAGCGATACAGGTGGCCTCCCAGGAGGACCACCTGCGTCGCAACCACATCAAATTTAGGGGAGTGCCGACAGAAGTCACTTCAGAAGAGATACCTAATTTTATAAGAAGACTTATGGACATCATCCTGCTGCCATCAACTAGTACTGGAGGGCATATATCACTTACCGGCAGGGCATTACTCACCTGCCACAGAAGCACGGGACGTCATCCTGCGATGTGCCACTTCTCAAGACAAAGTAGCAATAATGACAGCAGTGAAAGGCAAGAGCCCCCCTACCATTCGAAAACTCCCAACTACTTTTCTTCCAGGACTTAACTAGGGCTACGCTACACTGGCGGAGATCACTGCAACACCTAACAGGACGCCTGAGGACAGCAGGCATACAATACAGATGGGGAATGCCGAGGGCCCTGCTGTGGGACTACCCACAGAACCACATCGGAGGCCGTCATACTCACAATCCTCACTCTCCTGGGGCTACCGGATATACCCAAGACCAATGCTACGACAAGACTATCCCAGATAGGAGACCCAGCCACTACAAGGTCTTTCACTCCTCGAACCCCACGCACAGACTCAGGGACCTGACTGCGACCGCATATGAGACCACCCACACTGGCCTACCCAGAGTCAAACTCTCCGGCTCACTGTTCAGACTTTCGTTCAAACTTTTGTTTTTAACATTTTTGCCTCTGTCTTAGTATGTACACAGACACAATTCGCAAGGTCCTGATTAACATCAAGACCAGATCCAGGGATAAAAACACAGAACCACATTAACGTGGAGGTGCCCCAAATCTCCCCCCTGCACAAACTGCTGCACAAACAAATGGTATAATTTGTCTTAAAAAGATTAAGTGCCAACTTCACACAGCTCTTTGCACTCCCTAGCAAGGAAGAATTACTTAAACCCATTAATTCCTGCACAGCAAGGGGAGCAAGAGATTGAATTACAACCTGGCTAAAACAAAACAAAAAATAAATACATTCTAAATTGGCAACATTTCTAGCAGAAATGCTGCACTGACCGGGTACCTGAACCAGAATTACTTCAAAAACCTTAAGTGTTTATGGTGATTTATGTAACCTTTTAATTCAACAGAAAACAGGTTGCTGATCAACACACTATAGACACCAGAACAACTATAGCTTAATGCATTTGTTCTGGCGAGTATAATCATTCCCTTCAGACTTTTTGCAGTAAACACCTTTTTCAGAGAAAATGCAATGTTTACATTACAGCCTAGGGATACCTCCACTTGCCACTCCTCATATGACTAGAAGAGATGCTTACTGGGGCTTTGCAGCACTGCCATTCAGAGTCTCCACCATCTGCATGGAAACAAACTTTCCTTAATAGAGATGCATTGATTGAATGCATCTCTGTGATGAGATGCTGATGATGGTTGTGTTTGACTTGTGCTGTCTCTGCCCCTGATCTGCTTCCTTGACAGTCTTGGTTAATCCAATATCCTATGGGAAAGCATTGTGATTGGCTAAAATCACCACTTCTGATGTCAGCAGACAGCAGGCAGATCAGGGACAGAGTCAGCAGCAGCAGACTGTAATAAAGGAAAGATGATGCTTTACTTAGGGGAGCTTGATGGTGTTTTTAATACTATAGGATCAGGAATATATAGTTGTGTTCCTGACACTATAGAGCTCCTTTAACCAAACTTGTTAATGAGAGGGAAACACTGACTTATGGGTAAGAATTTCCTCAGATAATACATTTAAAACAGAATGCAAGTGTTTAGAAACCTCAAACTAAAAGTTGAAAACTTTTATATTACTTTTCTTTGTTACAAATTGAATGAGAAACTATCTTCTGCTTTGTTGTAAACAAAAGAGAGAAGTAACTAAATATTTCTACTGTAAATCTATCCAAATCACCTAGAGGTATTCCAAATTTCTGAACACTTGCAACTGGCTTTTTGAATAAGCAAAACTCTCACTGCATAGATGTATACAATCCCACTTTCCCCAAACAAAGCAGGGTTCTGCCCAGCACCCAAAGACCACCCTCCTATTCAGCCAACCTAATTCATGCACATTCAGACGTGAATTAATTAGGTGGTGGGAGTGTTCGTTTTATAATCTAAAAATTACTTGTAAAAAAATATATATGTTTAGATTGTCTAGTTCTACAGAACAAAATTATACTTGAGGATGGCACCAGGGTACAACAGCCATCATAACCACATCAAAGATGCCCAGTGTTTCTTTAACATGGCACATGTTCCTTGTTATGTCAAACCATTTCACAATCAGATGCAATATGTGACATTTTTAAAAAGCTAGATAAAGCTTGAGAAGTTAAGGAAATTCAAACACTTTTGTGTTTCATACTGTGGAGGGTGTGTTCACAGCGTAAACACATTTATTACAGTCGGATGTAGGGCAAGCTAAATGAAATACATGCCCAAAGACTATGACACATTGCAATTAAACGTCAACATATCCAGCTGTGCCATTTATTTTCCACGAACTGGCAGTCGGTAAAATAGGATACAGTATTGAATGCTCTTTAATTGGGGGAGGGAAAAAAACACAACTCATGGACCATGTGTTTACATGAACATCAACAATGATCAGGCAAAAAAATATATAAAAAGGCTGAAGCTATAAACGGATGTTTTAACCTTGCAGAGAGGGGCTTGCTTATATCTTATCAGAAACGCACTTATGTGCGAGACAAGCTTAGGTTCTCCCTGAAATCACACCTGAGCACAAACTTGCTTCTGCCCCCACACACTCCTAATCTAATTAGCCAAACTTTACATCCATATTGCAGTTTATCGAATTGGTATAGACTTCATGACAAGCTAATAGTTGCACTCCAATCTAATATACTGGCCCCTTTGGTACAAAATGGCAAACATCCTTACTTACTCATCAGTACAGGGTTTGAAGACAAGATATGCTTGTTGGAATAGAGTGAACACACACGTATATGTTTTATAAGCTAAGTAAAAAAGAAGAAAAAAATCCCATTATTTTAGTTGTTTACAAACATTGGATACTGAAATGTTTGAATCTGTCCTATCACAAGGAAAAGCAGGTGGTCTATAAAAAGGACATGAACCCAAAGCGCACACACACCCCCCGAAACACTTTTTACTCAAGTTTCTGCCTAATCCCTAAGCAGCTGACAGGTTACAGTCCTGGAACAAGTGTAAAGCTAAAACCAGCAGCTCTACTCACAAGTTGATTACTTTCGAATACTGCATATTTACACGGTAACAGCTCCTCTGTCACGGTTTCTCTTTCAAAACCATCTAAGAAATTACATGGCCACCAGAATTGTATCTTACAAACTGTTTATGCATTCAATCAGAAATAAACACTACAGCATTGGCACTAGGTTACTAGACTATTGACAACAAACAAACAATCTGGTTTGAGAAATTGCAATGCCCGAAACAAAGACTAGATTTATAAAGGGCAAAACAGGTTGTATTTTAGGGCACAGTGTTAAATAAGGAGCATACACCATAGAAACCAATATAATTTCTCAACATTTAGCACATTGCATTTGTACTCAGAACATGTTTTGCCTAGATAAATCTGGCCCATAGTATTAAGTTTCCAAAACAAAAAGTAAACGTTTGTTACTGCTCATAAGGCTAAACAAAACTGGAAAATAATGCACAGGAATGCAATTAAGTATGCCAATCTGGATCTGTAGAGATGGCTACGTTATGGTGTAAAAAGCATTATGCACCCACTCTCTCTGCAGAGTGTCTTACAACTGCATTAAATTATGTAGATTTGTAGGACTACATAATTAAAAAATATGCTGATCTATATCTTAATGGTGGAAAAGTAAAACCAGAGTTAAGGAACTATTTTAAAGCAGGCTGACATTAATTTGTTATTTTTCTACTACTAGCTTGTCACCACTGAGCTTAGGTGTGAAGAAATCCCTCTTTGTATTCATTATTTCTCCCCTTTTTTCATTCGGTGTACGTGACTGCCGGGCAGAGACCACCCCCCTGGCTCGGCTTCAAAAGCATGCCTCAATTAAACCCTCTACCTGTGCGGCCGCCGTTCGTATTGCCAAATGCCACGTTGCTGAGAAAACAGCGGACATCTTGTTTGTGCGAACAAAGGCAGCGGGACATGGTCGTCGAGTGTCTCGAACTAAAATCGGACACGCGACTTCCCGAACACCGGTCCCGGCGTACGAACGCTGGATCTTCGTTTCCCGAACGGCTAGGAGAGCGCTGTTCGGTACTTCTGTTCATTCGTATTAGGGGAGCAATCGCTGCTGGGAGCCAGGGGGAACCGTTCGTGGGATTGTTCGTTTATTTCAACTTCACAAAATAGACCGGCAAGGCCACCCAGGCTCGTGGAGCTGTTTTGGGAGTCAGCCTCGTGGTTGGCCAGTCGCCTGGGACTTCCATGGAATTCGAAAAGCTCTGAACTGATCTGGGTGATTTTTGGATGTGTTGGTCACCCAGATCAGGGCTGTCAGGGGATATGACTTTTAAGGGGATACCTCCTGTTTTTAGGGGTGTTCTGAAAGTTGGGGGAAAATTTATTTTTTTGCCTGGAGATAATGAAGTTATTTTATCTGCCTTAATTATCTCCAGGTCCAGGAATTGTATGTTTGTACTGGGAGTGTTGGACTGTTTCTCTAGTTATGATTGGCTGTACTATGTCCATCCCTGTGGGATGTCCCCTTGCACGGGGACTTGCATAAAAGCCAGTGTGGCATAATGAAGCTCAGTTCTGTTGTACCCTTCTTCTAGACTCCAGCTGATGTTTGGATATTCGTATACTTTACTAAGGGAATCTTCATGTAAAGCTGTTTATTCCTATGGGAATCGTTTATTTTATCTGTCGAACGGAGAGTTATAATCATTGATGCTTTGGCCGTTCAGGATAATGTTATTCATGGTCAAGCATTAATTCTGACATGCATGTGTAGTTATTTTGTACACATAAAATAAAGAGTTACTATTAATTTGTGCATTTTTGATTGGGATCATGCTTTTCATTTTCATATTTGTGCATTAACATCAAGGAGTGTCGGCGGAGGGTTTGACTCAGGCCCACAAAATGGCCCAGAGCTAAATGTTCTGGTACAAATAGGGGATATAGAGCAGGAGAAGAAGACCGGCATGAATCGCATATGCTCTGGCTGTTCAAAGTGTTGCCAGAAAGGTGCAGAGCGGTTACACTGGAATACCAGGAAAGTTATCCAAACGCTGGGGGGCATAAGGTGTAGCAGATTGTGTATGTGTAGCTGTGTATGTCTAAGAGTACGGGTGTGTATTGAGTGCATACACCCAGTGAGTATGTATATCTGTGAGCAACAGTTTGTGTGTATCTATGAGTGTTTGAGAGTGAATGTGTGTAATATTAAGTCTATAAATACATTGATCCGTCACATTAAAACCACTGACTGGTGAAGTGAACAACATTGATTGTTACAATAGTACCTGTTAAGGGTGCAATATATCAGGCAGTAAGTGAACAGTCAGTTCTTGAATTTCATGTGCTGGATGCACCCTTCCACAAAATGACAGAGTTCAAGGAGTTGCCCTGGCCCACAAATTACCCAGATCTCAATTAGATTGAGCATTTGTGGAAAGTGCTGGAACAACAAATGCGTTCCATAGAGTCCCCACCTTGCAACTGGCAGGACTAAGGATCTGCTGCTAATTTCTTGGTACCAGATACCACAGGACACATGCTCCATAAATGCAATGCTTCTGAGAAGCATTAAATCCAATATTTCTCTATGGGAAGCATTTATGGTGTTTGGCATCATCATGCTATTACACGATGACCATTAATTTGCACAGGTCTTGAGGAGGAAGTACTTCTACTAGTGGTCTCTCTGGCAGCAACTAGAGGCTCCAACAAATGCAAACAAAGTTTCTTAGAAAAGGCAAGATTTAAAATTGCCTGAGAAAAGGGACAATGTCTATGCTTCAAAACTACTACGTCAAGGAGGATTGGTTGTAGTTGTATATTCCACAGCACTGCAAAAAAGGTAATCTAAGACAAACTGTTCTGCTTAAACACTCTTGACATACTGGAACAGTTGGTGAATAGGGCTCAGCCTAAAACAAGCTTATAATCTAAAATCATGAGAGACAAATACACAGAGGGAAATGAGGGGATCAAATCATATTGATATGCCTGAGGGTAGGTGATTGGGAGGAGAGTAGATTGGAGATAGCAGAAGAACGTTGTTGAGAACGAGGAGTTAAAACCCGTTTTCCTGGCACTATAGATTTCTGGAGTGCCCCCCCCATCCCCTCTGAATCCAGTGCCGATGTACCTCAGCACTGGGTCAGGCTCTGCCCACGCTCCTTCCCCGCCAACTGCAGCCAGCGGGAGAGACCTAATGTGCGGCAATGGCCGCATGTGCATTAGACCTCCTAATAGGAAAGCATTTTTCAATGCTTTCGTATGGGGACAATCTGACGCTGGAGGTCCTTGAGGACCTCCAGCATCAGATAATGGCCCAAAATTCCATTTGGATTCTGGAAGCCACAGAGGGCAGACTTAGAGCTGCAATGGAAACATTGCAGTTATCTGGAACTGCAATGTTTTACATTGCAGCATTAAAGGACCACTAAAGCGCCAGGAAAACATGCTCGTTTTCCTGGCACTATAGTGCCCTGAGGGTGCCCCCACCCTCTGGGACCCCTCCTGCCCGGCTCTTGGGAGAGGAAGGGGTTAAAACTTACCTTTTTTCCAGCGCCGGGCGGGGAGCTCTCCTCCTCTCCGCCTCTGATCCTCCCTTTCGGCTGAATGCGCTATGCGTGGCAAGAGCTGCGCACGCATTCCGCTGGCCTCATAGGAAAGCATTTAAAATGCTTTCCTATGGACGCTTGCGTGTTCTCACTGTGAGAATCACGCAAGCGCCTCTAGCGGCTGTCAATGAGACAGCCACTAGAGGATTTGGAGGCTAAATTAACCCTATTATAAACATAGCAGTTAATCCTAGAGGGACCTGGCACCCAGACCACTTCATTAAGCTGAAGTGGTCTGGGTGCCTAGAGTGGTCCTTTAAGTGCAAAAGGGACCCAGCACCCAGACCACTTCAACAAGCTGAAGTGGTCTGGCTGCCTACAGTGTCCCTTTAAGGGGTGAGCTGATTGAATTCTCTAAAGAAGTCTGATTTTAAGTATTTTTTTTCAAGGACTGCAGTGATTGGGAGAGTCGAATGTTGCCTGGGAGAGGGGTCAGACCTGGAAAAATCCCACGTGCATGAGTCTTGGTTGAGAGTACGAGAACATAATAGCAACAGGTCATCAGCAGAACAAAGGAGCGAATGACCAGTTACCTTTTTTTATTAACACGTTCCATGTTCAAAGACTGCAGTCATACTAATTTGAGTGTTTTTAAGCAGGTGAATAAAGTGCCACAACACACAGAAATCCAATCTTCCAATGAGTAATAATTAGATGTAAAATACCCAACCAGGGAGTAACATTTCAAGTCTTAAGCTACTAGCCAGGCTTTGAAGGTTACTCATCACTGCAAACTTGGAGAGTCCTTCCTTGGTATACTCATTAGGGATAAATTGCCAATGGCTAGTGATAATTTTGAGCCCTGCCCTATAACCCAGAACTCAAAATAGCAACTAATTCACAAGTAACAGAGCTGTGCAATAACAGAAATGTGTAAACATTAAAAGCAGATTGTGTTTCACATACTAACTGAAACAAGGAATGAAGAAGAACTAGCTTCTGAGTGACAACAACATGCTTAGCCCAAGTCTGAAACTCTTCAGTGGACACACCAGTGTGAAATTTCATATATGGGAGAGTTCATGAGCACTGAGTGACATCACAGAAGATTGCAAATTTTTGATATGGGAACACTATCATACCTGCCATAAAAAACCAACGCTGCCACATTCAGAATTCCAAGCAAGAGTGAGTGGTTAACGCAATCTCTGTTTATGCATTTAACAAAGCCATACTAATACCCAATTAATATCAGAGACCAGCTGTAGTTCTCCCTTCTTACAACTGACAGGGAGTACCAAGGGAAAAGAAGAATAAATATATTGGCAAGCATGTGAGTTCTATATGACTCAGCGTATAGGTGAACAACTAGCAAGCTACAAGAGTAGGTATTTGTGAATGTGTGGATATGACATGTGTGTCTGCTTCTGTATGTATAAGGAAAAGACTGGGAAGTTATGAAAATGTTTAAAAATAACTAATTAGTGTTGTCCAGGTTTGAGAATGCATGAAAGTGGCTGATATGGTATCATTCAGAGTGTTTGAAAAAAGAATTTGTTAAAATGTGTGCTAACTTTTGGTTCAAGTTCCCTGCAAAATTTTATGTCTGTTCTTTACCTCCAATACAGTGTTTCCCAAACCAGTCCTCATGGTCCAGCAACTGTCCTTTGTCAGCATCTCTGATGAAATATAAAAGTGAAATACATCAATCCTGGACTAGTGCTGGGCCATGAGGTCTGGTTTGGGAACCAGTGTTTTAGTAGAATATAAAGTACTCTTCAGCTCTGTGCTGTTAGTCTGTAATAACCACACACAAAAAAAATAAAAATATATAAATAAAATAAAATTTAGATTCCAGCTCTCTCATGTGGATTTACACAATCATAAAAGCCAACAAGGAGTGTGCCTTTTTATACACGCTGTCCAAGTACAATAGAACATAAAGGTCATATTACCTTAATAATCACCCTCCCCCACGCCCATGTCACATGCGTCAGCACCACAAAGGCCTCTGCAGGACACTTTGAAAGAAATGACCAAGAATGCACTTTCTAAGGAGATAAATCCCAGATTATGAAACCATGATCACATCAACATTTGCCAGTGCTGCACTCCTCACCACATAAAGTGACTCAATAGTGTTTACACAGGTAAGGGATTTTGTAACTGCAGCTATCAAACAGTTTGTGAATGGCCCAAAAAGGAGAACATATTACAATTTTATAACAGGCAGCAAAAAAGTAAAACCAGAAGATAAATATCATGAGCCTTAATAGTCAAACTCTCCAAAATATAAATGTAGCCCTCGTGGGAGGGGACTTAAAGCAACAGTGCTACATCAGATCATTCTGCTAAACCAATCTAAAATCTTCCATGACAAACAGACCCAACTGGCAAAATATAAATACTTTTTCTGTAAACTGACGCAGGCATAATTCCGCAGGACATGATAGCTTAACCATTATTCCAGGTTTAATCCACCAGAGGAAGCCAGTAATTTTGTGCAGTAAAAAAACAAAACATTATTGGTTGAATAATTTTCAAGGATACGTGTAAAGTTCCATATATCTGGCCTTTGCCATGCTCTGTCTGGTGTACACCTGTTGAATCCCAGCTCTCAGGTCATCCCAGATCTGGTCCAGGCCAATCTGTTTAAGTCCATGTGGGTTCTGACTCCTGTTAGAAGACATCTTTTCTTCCCTTTTGTTTTCAGATTTTCTTCCCCCTCTTAAAAGTCCTTCTGCACAACAACTACCAATTTTGATCTGGTCAAACCTCCATAAGATGAGAAATTACTGGTACATGCCAATCTTCTGACAGCTGATGACACTTTAGGAGAAGTGTTGAATCAAACCTGAAAACCACAGAAAAAAAATGCGTACGAATCAGTTTCAATAGTATATAAGGAATACAGAGTGCAAGGTGTGCAGAAATAAATAACTTTTTTTAAACCTTTAGTCCAATGCACATTATTTGGTAACCAACACTCCTCACACTGCAAATGTACTGCAGGGGCTTGATATTCGTGACAATTTTCTTATTCCCTTTCAAGAACGGAGCAATCATCAAGGTAACCAGGGAAACAGCAGAAATTCATAGCTGGTTTCCATGGTGATTGCTCCACTTCACCACAATGCTATTAGTGACATTTTCATAAATCTCCCACGCTGTATATTGTTGTTCAAAAGAAAGGCAACAATTAAACAATTTGAATATTGATCACTTTACATTGCTGCTGGCATTTGCAAAATATCAAAGAGCTCAGTTTTCGCAAGTTGAAAAGGATTACACAATGGAACATGAACTCGTCAAAGGTTAGAATTGTCCCATTTGACCTCTACTATGAGCCATAAGTGAACAGAGGTTCTACCCCAAACACTTCCTAAAGAAGAGGATGCAGCTTAATGTAACATTACATACAAGCTCCCTGGGTTTGCTAAATATAAATGTTCTGATAACTGCATTTAACTAAAAGGAACCAAACCTGTAGCAGAACAAATAGAAGGGGAAGCCACTTTAGTGTTTAAATAATATTTGACCGTTTACAGTCCACAATTTCAAGATGTGAAGCTGCTCAGAATTCTAACTTATACCATTGGCAGGCAGTCTTTTTCTTGTAAAATAATTGTATGAGTTTATTTTACTAATCTATATACAAAGTCATTCTGAATGTACAGCTTTAAAGAACTGTAAATAAAATCAATAAAAAAAAAAAAAAAAAAGATACAGAATAAAATTAGTTGGCAGTTCTGTCACCCCCCCAATTCACATTTCATAAACGATAAAATCTAAAGATTGTTTTGGAATTTCACTTAACTTTCAATATAATCAAAAGATATAAGAAAGTATTTCTCCTGCGCTTGACGCTTACTACCGTAGGAACGGCTGGGGAAACAAGCTTTCTCTATGGAGTCTCCTGAGATCCATCCATAGAGATCAGTGTTGTACTCTTAGCTCATTTGTGAGTGTAGCACACTGACGTAAACTTCTAGAAGATGAAGCATCAAGAGCTAAAGAGGATGCACTAGATCAAATTATCAGTAGCTATGAGGGACAGGATCAGGTAAGTAAAACTTATCTTCCCCTGCACCACCAGGGCCACCACACTGCAAGAGGAGCAGTTACCATAAGTGGCCTTTGCAAAATATTGATTCTGATTGGTGTCTTAATGCTCTAAGCAAATCTAAAATGAAATATGTTCATTGAATTGTTTAGAGAACAGAAAACAAACAAAAAACACCTAAATAACCCCCACCTAAATAACCTATACCTAGATTATCAAATAACTCAGACTATTAATACTGGCAGGCACATAATGCATCAAATTAAAAATCAGGGGCATTCACTAAAGCTATAATTCAAAGTGAACTTTAAATTTAAGAGGAATAAATCTCCAAGTCAGATATGCTTTCGGTTCAGCTACTTCACCCTTAAATCTGAAACCCACTTTGAATTCACTCTCAATTCTCACTTTAGTGAATAACCCTGTATGTATCATGATATTAGGGGTTCCTGCGAAAGTAATAATGTACTTTTCCATGGTCTTGTCAACAATGGCTACAAAAGAATAATAAACATAAATAAACAGAGATATGAAAACATCAAAAGACCTCAAGTTTAATTTTGGCTTTCCATGGTAACACATTCCCAACACCATCCCCATCATATATTAACTCAAAGCTCGACAAATCACAGGCACCAGGTCGCCATGACTCCGAGGATATGCAAGCCTGTTACCTAGCGCGGAAATCCGGCTGGGGAATTGTGGAGGCGGACAGCATGCTGAGGGGTCGTAGAGGCAGGTGGCTGACTGCGCAAATACTAGGTGGGCGGCGAGGGAGCCGTGATGTCCCTGCTCTCCTTCGTTGCCGCTCAGTGAGACATGGGCCAGAATATGACGTCATATTCCGGCCCTAGTCTCACTAAGCTGTGCGCGTGTAGCACAGCAGGGACATCACAGCTTCCTCCCCACCCACTACATTAAGCTATATTTTTGAAAATGTTTATTTTTGTCGGTTTATTTAAGCCTTGTAAGTTTAAAAAAAAATTACAATATGGCTCTTAACTTTTTTTAGCTGGCTCCTAGATTCAAAGCAAATTTGTCAAGCTCTGTATGAACTGCAGTAATTCACATGTTGGTTTTAAAATAATCTTTTTGTACCTCTATTTCACTCTGCTTTTATTTCATTCATTTTTTAATTCACCTCAGTTTTTAGCTATTCATAAGTAAAAGAAGAGACTACTTTCGTCATGGGGAGTGTGATTATTGGCAATTGAGCAGAGCTTAAGCAAACTGCCATTTCAGTTAAGCTAAGTTACCCCAAACCCATCAGTCATTACAGAATCAAACAACAGACATTGCATACAAGGGAGAATAAAATGGAGGCACCCAGGTAAAATAGTGCCAATGAGGGGATTTTAAACATTAGATGCACGAGTCATAAAGATAACAAAAAATAAAATAAAAATCATGACCTTGAAATCTGTCACTTCTCTGGAAATTATACCATTTAATAAAACAGACATCTACAACGTGTGCCAACTTTATTTAACTATTTTATTTTGAATTTAGATTACAAATTGAGCAAATTATATCATCCATCTAGATCAGGAAAAGAAAAGCAATGGCAAATTACAAATAAATAGGAGAAGTAGAAGCATTTTCTGTATATTGGCTGCCAGGTACAGAGGACAGAGCTTATGATTGACAGGGAGCCAAGACTGAGATGCCCAGTTGCAGGATGAAGAGATTTCTACTTTTAAAGGAACACTCCAAACACTAACCACTAGAAGACACTGACTGCCCCCAAAGAAAGTAATCAACAGTTGGACTTTTTATCTAAGGTCAGCTGTCTCTGACCACTGGCAGCTCCCTGCCCTTAAGACAGCGATGCTGAGCTTAGCTCACTGGTTAAGAGCAATCAACCGATTACTCTCAGCCAATGAGCTGGTCTTGCACTGCAGGGCTTAGCTCAGGAGAGCAAATGGAAGCTCCTAACAGGAGCTTCAGCGCTCCAGAGAAAAGTAAGTAGGGTCTAGCATCCAGCAGACCAATATAAGGCATTCAAACTGAAGAACAAGATTTGCACTTGGCTGTCAGCCTAGAGAAAATATACAGAGAACAGTGGTTCTCTTTCTCCTCTTTATTAGCAATATCTGTGCAAGCTTTGCGATGTCTGAACTGTATTATGATGTAATTTGCCAAGTCCTAAAAGGGACTATATAGGCACCCAGACCACTTCATCTCATTGAAGTTGTCTAGGTGCACTGTCCCTGCAGTTTAAGAAAAACTGCCATATTTACATTGCAGGATTAAGACTGCCTCCAGTGGCCATCTCCCAGACAGCCACTAGAGGTAATTCCTGCAGTTACAAGGAGCTTTACATCCGTGAAACAACACTGTATGCCCAGTGTGTTGAAAAACCCCATAGGAAATCACTGATTAAATACCTTCCTCCGGGGAAGGACTTCGGTTCCTGGATTGACGTTGTGGAAGGAGGAGTTCAATCCATTGCCAAGGGCACCGGAATCAGGTAAGTGAAAAACAAGTAATTATATGCCAGGGGGAGTGGAGGCGCCGGACACTCCAGTACTATGAATACAGTTTTGTATTCCTTACACCAAGCAGGTCAAACTCAAAGTCTAGTACGGGCCAAATTTACAAGGTTTAAGTTTATGTGGGCCACAAAAAAAAATAAAAAATCCTGTGCCAAAGCGGATCCTCCCGCTACTTCTTGAAACACCGTGAAAGTGGAGCACGTCGAAGTCACATCAGAATGTGACGTAGCATTGCGTGCCTCCTGCACCTCCAGGTACTTCACTGTGTAGCTGCGGCCATCGCAACACTGACAGACACACTCTGACAGACACAGCTTCCTCACTGCCGCCAGCGTCCTGCTTCCACCCCAGCCGGGTGAATTTTAGCAGAGTAGGCACCTGAAATGTGGAGAAAGCAGGTGCCTACTCTGCTTTAACACCAAGCATGTAATGGCGGCTCCATTGTGGGTCGCAAGCGACTGCGGCAAAATTAATGATAGCCAAAAACTGGAAAAGTGTGCTGACACCATGTTAGCCTTTAGTTAAAGAGCAGTTGTTATATCAATTAAAAATGGAGGGGGTATATGTAAATCATCTGATGAGAACTATGAATTTTGGCTAGAACAAATTGCAACGCTTTAAGGGAAAAATTCACTCCTGACAATCGTAACTCCTTTTTCTTTAGTGTTATAAATTTAACGGGACACTATAGTCACCTGAACAACTTTAGCTTAATGAAGCAGTTTTGGTGTATAGAACATGCCCCTGCAGCCTCTCTGCTCAATCCTCTGCCATTTAGGAGTTAAATCTCTTTGTTTATGAACCCTAGTCACACCTCCCTGCATGTGACTTGCACAGCCTTCCATAAACACTTCCTGTAAAGAGAGCCCTATTCTTTCTTTATCGCAAGAGCCTCCTGTATGTGATTAAAGTTTCATTTAGAGACTGAGATACAATTATTTAAGGTAAATTACATCTGTTTGAAAGTGAAACCAGTTTTTTTTTTTTTCAGGCAGGCCCTGTCAATTATAGCCAGGGGAGGTGTGGCTAGGGCGGCATAAACAGAAACAAAGTGATTTAACTCCTAAATGACAGTGAATTGAGCAGTGAAATTGCAGGGGAACGATCTATACACTAAAACTGCTTTATTTAGCTAAAGTAATTTAGGTGACTATAGTGTTCCTTTAAGACTTGATACAATTATAATTGGAGACCCCCTGGTCCCATTCTTCCGCAGCGCAGGGAAACTGTCAAATGTGTTAAAATGTCGAAATGTTGTAATGATTATTTTAGTATGTGTTTATGTTTTTTCCTTTCCTGTTATTGTGATTTGCTACTTTTATTGCATATATGTAATGGAAAATAACAAAAAGGAGGGCGGGAAAAAAAATAAAAAATGAGGAGATATAGCTAAATCGATTGCTTTCCTATTTGGTCTTGCCTTGTCAACCATCAAACAAACACAAACGATTTCATGAGATTAAGGAAGTGCCACATCATTTAATAAGGGTCATAAAATTTAGAATACAAGCTCAGGTCTGAATCATTTGTGGGTCACAAAGTAGCACTCTCAGATAAAGTCTTTCTGAACTACTCATTGACTATGTTAGAATTTCACTGAAATTCCAACCCAGTCATAAGATATGCTGAGACAAAGTATGGACCTACATTGTCTTAGTATTTTTCCTACACCTGACCCTTTTAGACACTGGGCGACGGAACCACCGCCTATAAGTGTCAATCCTCCAGCTGCATGGAATTGGCTCTGTGGATGATCCTGGGGAATCCCCCATAGACCTTAATGCAGTACTCATGCATGTGCGAGAATACAACATTTACATCAGTTCCTGGTGCTGAAGTGCCAGGAAAAGAAAAGGACCGTCAAGAAGAATATGGTGATGTCAATGAGGGACATGTTCAGGTAAATTAAACTCACCTTTGACTGCCACTTCAGCAATGCTACCATTGGGAATCTTTGAAAATGATGCAAAGTCCCCCATACAGTGTCTGTGCCGCTTAAAAAAATTAAAAAGCAAACAAAAAAACAAAATACAACATCATGTGATGCTCGCAATGATCCCAGAGTTCTCCCAAAACAGGACAATATAAACTAATGTTGCTCAGAGCACCTCTTTAACGACAACAAAATGTTATTAAAAGCCAGCGTCTTTGAAATCCCCACAGGAAAGCATTAATTCACTTAGATCATATGGGGTAGGTCTAATGCACTCACTGCCCATGAACACTAGGTCCCCCCATCAGCGTGGCATTGTGTGAAGAGACCAAACTAGTGGCGAGGGACCTTGGTGTTATAAAGCGGAAAATGAATAAAAGGTTTGTAACCCTTTAATCACTGTGTGAAGGGGGCAGCAGAGGAAGAGAGACAATACTGTGTTCGGAAAACCGTTTTATATTCCCAACACTATCGTGTGTCACGGTTCTCACCATGACATGCAGACGGCCAGGCGTGGCTGTTCCACAAGTGCCAAAAAGGGGATTTTAACTGTGGACTCTTGCTGTCTTGTCTCTGAGCCACACTTCAGTTTACGTTTCTTCCTGATGTCTTATCCAGCCTTTTCTGCAGCACTTAGGGGCTGGGACTTTACCTGTGGCTGCTCCATTAGCAAGGTATTTTGACCTGCCTCTCCATGAGAACATTGTCAGTTCTTTGATTCTGGTGATCGTATGTTGTTCCTGTTTTGTCTCCTGATAGTTGTTCTCCAGATTAACCCTGGCTTTCCTCCATCTTTATCCGGACCTCTCGCGTCCTCGGACTTTGGCTTATCCTCGACAATCCTTCTGCCCTTGTCTGTACTGTGAATTGGAGCACCTTTCATGCACAGCCCCCATGCACAGAATTAGTGTCCTAGTGGTTTCTAACCTTATCTTGAACTGTATATATCTGCAGTCCAAGGGTGAACACAAATATTTGCCTACTGGACTCCCACCTCAGATAAGACCCTGACAGTGTTCCTTTAAGAATTCAAGACCTACGCTACTAGAGTCTATGACACATTCACAGTATAATGTTCACTCACGAATAGTAGGTGAAAATTTTGAGCTCTGATCTACATAATGTGCTAACAAAAGCACTACATAATGTACAGACCAAGAGTTTATTTGTCAATGACAAATTAGTAAGAGATGCCATTTTCATAAATTATAGATATGTCAAAATAATAAACCAAAGAATTAAAAAAAAAAAATGCTCTGCTGAATGGCCATCACTTGCAACAAATGGTGTATTGCCAGCCAAGTCTAGTTCTTCAATTTTCATTTGCAACTGCTCTTCGTATTATATGAACCCTTGTACTGCAGCAGATTTACAGGTTTGAGTTCAGTAGATTTCTGTCATCTTCTAATAGTTTGAGCCAGGTAGCTCATTTCTAAAGGATACTACACATAGCCAGTATAAGCATACAGCATAGGGAGTTATACAAACAGATGTAGAATTAAATGAATAGAAAGCTACATGCTCCATAAACAATGAAACTGCATAAAATGTTTACGGTGCTTGAGCCTTTTGAAAGTGATAATATAGTCACCCAGATAAATTAAACTCAATGAAGTGGTCTGGGCACAGAGTCTGTCCCCTTAACAAACCCCTCAAGAGGTTAACTCCTTTTCTAGGGACTGTCAGGTGCTTCCACAGCACTGATCAAAAAAAAAAAAAAATAAGTCACATGATGCAGAAGTCCCAAAGGAAAGCATTGATTAAATGCTTTCCTATAGGTGATTTTAAAAGCATATGTGGCAGTTCATGCACACGTGGTCCCCAATGCTCCCCACTGAGGAGCAATGTATTGAATCCACACTGAGAAGGCAGGGAGCAGGAGTAGAGGTCTGCAGCACTCAGGGAGCATTGGTGCTGGAATAAGGTAAGTAACACTTATTTTTTGGGCTCCAAGAGGGGACATAATACTACTAAGGAAAGGGACAATATAGCTTTAGGAATAAAAATTTGTATTCCTAACGGTATAGTGTTCCTTTAATGAAGTACAGCACCAAATGGTGTTGTGTTCCTCCAATTACTTGGCTATAAGATCAGGCAGAAAGAGACTAACACTGGAAGCCAAATAAAGTCAACACGTGAAGAATTTATTGAAGAGACACTCCACTGCCTAAAAAATATTTAGTGGATAATAACCGTAGAAGCCAGGACATCAAATGTGGTCCATCTATTCCCTGTTCTACATAGGCCTCAACTAGATCATTATGAAAAGTGAATACAGATACAGTCAACCATGGAGCCTCCATCCACCACCACCACCTCTACCTCTACATGGATGACCTCAAGTTGTTTGCTAACACATGAGACATCAAATCACTGATCCTTAAGTATACATGGCAAGAAGATTGGAACATGTTCATATCTGTAATGTAAAATTAAACACTCACACCTATTCATTCACACCTTTGAAAAAAATTTAAATAAACTGTTTTGGAACACATTGTGTTTCTATAGCCTCTTTGCATTATTTGAATAGTATTGTACTGTATGATATGGTATTTTGCCATCTTAAAGGTAAGAAAAAGTGAAAAAAAAAAAAATCAGGCAGGCCGACCGTTATAACCACCTTAAAACTGAAGGTCTTTCCTTTAGAGAAATTACAAAGAATGCAAAGGTATCAATGAGTACATCACCAAAATTTCCTACACCACCAAAAGACACTTGGAAATTGCAGGAAACTGACAATGATAGTTCTTGCAGATCTAAAGCCAAAACAAAACCACAAGAGTTCTTTCTAAGAATCAAAAGCTTGAGTGATATGTGGCTGACAGGACAAGAACTTCAAGCTCAACTTAAACTTAGTTCAACTAAAAAGGTTTCCCTTTCAAATGTGAAGATTAGACTATGGACAGGTCAAATGGCAGTAAAAAAGAGGTTGACAAAATAAGAAGAAAAATTGGTTTGCCTGGGACACGAAGTACCACCAGCAGACTACAAAAACGGTAAGGTCTTCTAGCCCAATGAATCAAAATTTGCAATCATTACAAGTGTTTTTTTTATAGCATCAAGCAGGCCAAAGAATAGGTCCTCTATGGGTAAAACAAACTGTCAAACAAGGAGGAGGAAGTGCGAAAGTCTGGAGCTCTTTTGCTTGATCAAAAGCTGGTGGACTTCTGAGTTGCAACCCAAGCTAAAAAGACTACCACAGCATTTTGCAGCACCATGAAATACCCTCTGGTATACGTACATTTTGTCAAGCATGTATGCTGCAATGAACAGGAATATGACCCAAAACATGCTTCCAAATATAACAGTCTACATTAGAACTACCTTGGAAGAAAATAAAGACAGGCATCAATGACCAAAACAGAATGCAGATTAAACTCCAGTGAGCTGTTTTTTGATGAACTAGTCAGAAAGCTGGAAAAAAAAATTGCCTACAAAAGCAACATATTTGTGGGAACATCTATTTCCATTGTAGAAAGAATACGATCAGTGTGGTCAGCTGTTGCACCTGCAAAAAGCCGATTTTAATGAGTCAGAAATGTAGTTTACATTTAGTTACATATAGCAATACCAGGATTTATTTTCCATTTTCTATTCTTTGTTTTATGGTTTAGTATCAAAATACATTGAGAGATTAAACTGTGATAAAAATGGAGGTGTTCTTCGACATTTGATCAGTATGGTACTTTGCATAGGATGCTTAAAGTGGCAATGTCATGCCAAACTTACCTTTCTCCTATTGTTTCCTCTTCTCTTCCTCTCTCAGCAGCTGTTCTTTTATTTTTTATGATCTAGTTTTCTTTAAAACATAAGAATACCTTGCGTATTTTTCCTACGATTGACTTTCTTTGACCAAAGGAAGAGCTTACGTCCATTTGATTTCCTGTGTCAAGGTGAATGGTGACTTCTTTCTCTTACACAGGAAATGGAGCCTTAAGCTCCTCCATTGGTCAAAGAAAGTCAAACGTAGGAAAACACATAAGACAAAAGTAGTCCCTACTTTGTGTTATGTTTTTAAAGAAAACTAAAATCAGAAATAAAGAAAAGAAGAACAGATTCCGAGAGGAAGAGAAGAGTAAACAATAGGAGAGAGGTAAGTTCAGCTTGACAGTGCCACTTTGAAAACCTCCTCCAAACTGGCCAATATAAGTAGAAGAATGCAGGAATCCACTGCCCTCAACATAAACATGTTTTGGGGGGGGGATTTGCAGCTCTCTCTGGTGGTCATCTTTCCCTTGCATTAAGGAGAAGTAACACCATAAGTGCAACAGGTAAAATAATTTTAATATATACATGTACTTTCCATTTGACTACCACAAATATATAGATCAAACAGGTATCAATACAAAATGGGTATCAATTGTAACATTTCATGTAAAGTAGCTGTTACCTCAAGCTTGACTTTCTCCTTCCTCTTATCTTCCATATTTTTTTTACTTCATTAGATTATTTTCATTAGATTCATAAACTAAATTTTCATATTTTGTTATGACATGACATGTACCAGATTCCCTTGAAAAATATGGAATCAGTGGTGATGAAACTATGTCACTCACTGCAGCCATAATAAACGGCTCTGTTGGTTTCCATAGGGATGTTCACCAACAATTTTAACTTATATAACGGACACTATGCAGGGGTGCTGGAGATAATGTAACAGGCAATTAGATACAACACACAAAACTATTCCCAGCTCCCTTCAAAAGAGCTTTTCACATACCCAAGAATAAACCATTTAAATATAAATTGGCTAAGCAGCAAATATATTTAAAGCTTCCATAAACTGCACTAAGGCATGAAGTGCAGAGTAAACCACTTTTTCCCAAACCGCTGGATAGGAAATATATTTTGGCCATTTACATCCATTGAGACATTTCGGAGCCAATTACAAACTATGATCAGCAAGAATACAACTTTCTCCAGAAATCAGTCTGCTGGATATGTGACCCAGGAAATATGGCTGCTGTAAATATATATTAAAACATATCTTAACCGCAGCGAAAGTTAGAATACGTCAGCCTGGAAATCTACATCTCTTTCCATAATACATGAAGTAACTAATAAGGTACATTTCTACATTTAATAAGCTAAACTAGCAGAAATTAATGATAGAATATCAAGACCAAAAGATTTTATATGGAGACCACTAGGTATACAACTTATGCATGAAGTGTATAGGCAATGTGACACCTCATTCGTAGATCAGCAGTCGTTGAGACTGAGTTATGATTTTGTATTGTTCATATTTATGTATTTATCGTTTTAACTGATCATTTTTCTGATAACGTTGATATAAACAAAAGGACACTCTTGGAAATTAAGTAAGGCAGTGCTTACCGGTCTTCAAAACCTGTTAAATGTAACCCCCTTAATTCTGCTGCATGAAGCCAAGGTGAAAATGATAAGGGGTTTTTGCTCCATAGCACAAGGAGTGTACCTCATAACTGTGCGCACTCATTTATACCCTTGCCCCACACTGCTTGTAAACCTTTAAAAATTAGATATACCATCACTGAACTTCAGTGATTTTTCACAGCATTTTTTTTCTTTTTTATATCTGATTTAACCATGCTATGGTCACTAACACAGCAACTCTGAAATATCACCGGATTTAAACTCCTCTTTTAAAAAATAGATACTTTTAATGAGAATTAAATATTTAACATAACATTCAAAATGTTATAACTTATTGCTACACCAAAGGGTAAACCTGTAAAGACCCAATCTGCTCAAAATATTTCAGATAGGCGGTCACAAACCAATAATACATTGATTCTATCCCATTTACAGCACTGCAGAGTATGTGGGAACAGGAGTGGCAAAATAAAAATGTATTATCCGAGCACAGGAAAGCATTATTGTTCTACAAGAGCTTGTCATCTCCCCTCTGGCCAGCCCTGAGTAGCTGGCTCTGGATATAATGATGATGATGATGATGAAGGGGTTTAGTAGAGCATGCAGGTCAGATGCGCAGTGTATGCTCCCAGTGAGTGCTCTGCATGTACATCGGGGTACACTCTCCTCATAACTGCATACCAGGGGCTCAGACTCCCACACTCACTATCCTCAGGCCCTGAACATCCCACACCTCGCGTGAGATCGCTCCGACCTCGCTCAGCACTCACACGGCCTTTCTGAGGACCCATTAACCCAGCACGGCCACACAGCTCCCTCCCTCCACGCTCCTCACCTGTGTCTCGGCGGCAGACGTAGCAGACGGAACCCCCGGAGAGTGCCGGCGACCAAACCGGAAATCAACCTCTCTTCTAAACTTCCGGGTCATAACCCCATACGACAGCAACGAATGGACGAGGAGCGGGGAGAGGGCGGGGTTTAAACTGGAAGTGTGAGAGAAACTGAGCTACGTAAGGTGGGCGTGGCCTACTGAGCGCTCGGCCAATGAGAGCGAGCAGAAAAGACGTTATGGCTATTGCGCACGGCGAGACCACCTGCATGTTGCTAGCCAGGGAGTTAGCAGCATGCGGAGACAGGACAGCGTGCATTCACTAATGTGGGATTTGTGGAGCACTGAACGCCGAATTGCGAAGTTCAGGCTAAAACAGCCATCCCAGGGCAGTAATGTAAACACAGCCTTTGCCCTGAAACGGCAATGTTTACATTAACATACCTACAAGGACAGGCAGTAGACACCAAAACAACTACATTAAGCTGTTATTGTTTTTGTTGACTGTAGTATCCCTTTAACCCCTTAAAGACTGGACTGTTTTTGCGATGTTGTACATTTGCGACCAGGCATATTTTTACACTTTTGTGGTGTTTGTGTTTGGCTGTAATTTTCCGCTTTCTCATTTACTGTTCCCATACAAATTATATATTGTTTTTTTCAGGACAAAAGGGGCTTTCTTTACATACCATTATTTATATAATCTCATGTATTTTAATTTAAAAAAAATAAAAAAATATGATGAAAAATTGAAAAAAAATACATGTTTTTTGACTTTTACTTGAAAAATCTTTTACTCATCTACAAAAGCGAATGAAAAAAACTGCTAAATAGATTCAAAATTTTGTCCTGAGTTTAAAAATACCTAGTGTTTATGTGCTTTTTTGCTTTTTTTTGCATGTTATAGGGCTATAGGTACAAGTAGGATATTGCGGTTTCAAAACATACATTTTTAAAATTTATCAATAGTGACATTGTAACACTATTATCTGTCATAAATCTCTGAATAACACCCCACATGTACATATTTTTTTTAAAGTAGACAACCCAGGGTATTCAATATGGGGTATGTCCAGTCTTTTTTAGTAGCCACTTAGTCGAAAACACTGGCCAAAGTAAGCATTCATATTTGTTTGTGTGTGAAAAAAGTAAAAAAACTAAATTGAACGCTAATTTTGGCCAGTGTTTGTGACCAAGTGGTTACTAAAAAAGACTGGACATACCCCATTTGCAATACCTTGGGTTGTCTTCTTTTGCAAATGGTATGCCATCATGGGGGTAATTCTCATTCCTGGGCTACCATACGCTCTCAAAGGCAACGTAACCAACCTGGCCATTTTCAATGTAAAAATATTTGACCCATATATTTGACCTTGTAACTTTCAGAAATGCTATAAAACCTGTACATGGGGGGTACTGTTTTACTCGGGAGACATCGCTGAACACAAATATTAGTGTTTAAAAACTGGAAAACGTATCACAACAATTATATCATCAGTAAAAGTGCTGTTTGTGTGTGAAAAATGCAAAAAAAGTCACTTTCACTGACAATATCATCGCTGTGATATGTTTTACTGTTTTGAATCACTAATATTTGTGTTCAGCGAAGTCTCCCGAGTAAAACAGTACCCCCCATGTACAGGTTTTAGGGTGTAGAAACGTTACAGGGTAAAATATAGTGCTAGCAAATTAAATTCTCTGGAATTTCGGCCTGGGTTGGCAGGCAGGTCCCTCAAATTGCAATCAATAAAATTACTGAATTATGTAAAAATATTACATAAATACGCACGTAGAATTTAAATATATATGCATATTTATATATTTGAAGTCTACGTGTATATTTATATAATTATTTATGTAATTTTGTATATGGATGTATGTATATTTCTTATTATTTTTATTTATTTTTATATACATAGATATATATACAAATTCATTCTAAGTGTATTTTGATATAAATATATATATATTTATTTTAAAATACAGTTAGAATAAAATTTCATATAGCTATATAATTTTTTTTAAATTTTTTATTATTATTTAAAAAAAAATTATTTAATTTAAATTACTTATTATTTATATTTTATAATAATATATATATACAATATATATAGTTATTATATGTATTATATATATATACGTGTGTAATTTAATTATAAGTGTATTTTTATATTAATATAAGTACATATTAATATAAAAATACACTTAGTATGACATTATATATATATGATATATAGACATATATTATATAGATATAATATATGTCTATATATCATATATACACATATATAATTATTTATTTATTTTTTATTAACATTAACTTTATTTTTATTTTTTTATTTTACACATGCAGGGAGACTGCCTGTCAGCACAGGCAGTCCCCCTGCAGGCAGACACATGGACACCTATTGTGACCATGTGATCGCTGTGTTAAGCGATCACATGGCCACAGGGGTCCTAATCTGCCGTGGGGAGACTGTCTGGGCTGCAGACAGTCTCCCCACAACCGGAGCCACGCTGATCGCCGCCGGGGGAACGACGGCGATCAGGTAAGTAGCTCTGACCGTTAGGACGGTTCAGGACCGTCATCGGTCGGCAACGCAAAAATGCCGATGACGGTCCTGAACCGTCCTCGGTCCTTAAGGGGTTAAGGAATTCCCATTCTACTTACTCCCCCGCCTCTCTTTTTTTTTTTTGTGTGCACCTGGAATCCATGGATCCACCTGATTCTGTCACCCTCCAACCACTCCTAGAAACTGTACTCAACTTCTAGCTTTCGTTTCCCATTTATATTATTTTATTATTTATATAGCGCCAGCAAGTTCCGTAGCGCTGTCTCCTCTCGTCATCTTTCCATACCTCTACTTTGCTGATATGTAATCGCTGTTATGGTACTCATCACGAGTCTACAGGGATAAACCCACGGTTAACATGGGAAGAATATTTTGACTTTCATACAGTATTTAAGTTTACCTATGTTAACTAATGTCAATTTTTATGAGACAGAATTGGAGTGATTAAAATCTATCGGTGTATGTACAATGGTGCTTTCATGTGCTGTGTGTCCAGATTTTGTTGACATAATAAAAGCTGAAAGAAAAAAATACCTTAAGTGAATAAATCCTTAACAGATCCTTTAAATGAGCACTGAAGACATCCAGACCACTTCCTCAATGTGGCGGAACATACCGTTAATTTCGTGTGTTTTACTGTTTATCCGTTCACACCTTGTAACTTAAGGGCAAAACCGCAAGGGAAGTAATTAATGAATTCCTCCCCTGGGTGGCCGCCATTTCGTGTAACCGAATACACCTAGTCAGCAAAAGAGTGGTGGCCATTTTGTCTCCCAAACTGCACTTGGTTGCCGAGTGTCTGGAACTCTTTTCGGCTATGCACTCGCGCAAACCCCAATAAAGGTTATACCGCTGCCCATTGGGAGATGTGAACTACTGACTGGGGGGAATATTCACTCCCTGAAATCAAGAGAATCCCTTGCATGTTTTTTGCACAGGAACCCCTAAACAGAGACCGGCCGGGGCATCTATTTCCCTTGAACTGTTTTGGGCTGTCCCCTTGTGTGCGGCCCGTCAAACCTTTTCCCCGGTGGCAATCAAATTCTACTGAACAGATCTGAGTGATACTTGGCCAGATTATCCTCTCAGATCAGAGCTATCCGGGGATGTAACTGTTGTGGGGTTCCTAGTTATAATGAGAGTACTTTTGGGGTACTGCATATTTTGTATAGTTTTTTTTGTACCTGAGAGATAATTGAATTATAGTTTTCTCACGCAATTATCTCTCAGACACAAAGGACCCTGGGAAGGAAAGCCCTGCAATGTTGTATTGGAGACCCCATGTTAGGATTTGTGCATTAAAGCTGTGTGTGGCCTGAAAAAAAAAATCAGTTGACTTCCAGAACTATGTTTAGTTACTGGGTGAATGGATGCCTGAGTGTTTAATGGTTCCAGTGTGGCTGAGAGTAGAAATTAGTGGAGGTAACCAGTCGGGTGACCCGGGGTCCGCTACATAGTGGACCCCAGGTAACCCGGCTGGTTGCCTCCACTCATGGTTACCTGCACTCATGTAGATCTATATGTAGCGGACCCCGAGTAACCTGACTGGTTACCTCAGCTCATTTGAGAGGGTTATAAAGATGAGGGTAAATGTGCAACTGTACATTTAGTCCATGTGTAAAATACATTCATCATGGCATAACATTTTAAGTACTATGCTACAAGCCAGGCCTTAAAAGTTACTTGCCACATTTTGTACTTTATACATATGGCCTATGTGCTCACAATAAACACTTTATGGGATTGGTCAATGTGCTGCAGTTTGTGTGAACGTATGATGGATGTAATTAGTTGCATTGTGGCTGTGACAAACTCCCCTTTTCCTTTTTTTTTTAATTCTTTATTTATTGCGAGAGAGGATGACAAATACAGCATGTTCGGAACATCCGATAACTTTATGCAGACACGCATTTGTATATGTACATCAACCAACATTTGTATATGTAAAGGCAGTGAATGCAGTGCTGTGAACAGTATAACATGAGCAATCCGTTAATTGAGACAGTACAGTGTGTCTGTGGCCTAGCTCGAGAACGTACCACATCCGACAACCCACTCTGATTTTTTATATAGATAAAAGTAAAACTGCGTACAACCATACAAACGTTATCATATCGAGATAGGAAAGTTAATTGATTCGTGGTCGCCACCCACTCAGGAGTGCCAAAGAGCCTTATGGAATCTAAATTTTCTTGTTCCTACCCTTAATATCCCAGTTGTAATCCTACGCTGCGAAGTCGTACAAAGTGAACAGGAAAAAATAGAAGTAAAAATGGACAGACAGAGAATAGGAATAGTAGGATAGGGGAAAGGAGGGGGAAAAAGGGGGAGTTTAGGGGGAGAGGATCTAGGGGGGCCGACTACAGTGCCATTTATGAGACACTGCCAAGTTGATGGGCCATATTAGGTATGTTTAATGGGACAATTCAGTGTAAGATTATCTCCTAGGGGGATCCTTAAAGTCAAACTCCCCTTTTCAAGTGAGTTTGCCACGAGTTCCTAGAGGAACCTGCTTGCAAGCCTTCTGCCCACATACTATGGACCTTGTAAAATGTGATATAAAAGTCTCCGTTTGTGTATTTTCACTATATGGTTCAGGAACTGAAGAGCTGCACGAACCGGAGACCACCCTGGAGCTTGTTAAGCCTAATTGTTACTTTGTAACAATTTCCACCTCAGTGTTCTAAGTGTTCGTCTCGGTGGCCGCAATTCCTTTGGATGACCACAAGGTGGCCATCATCTTGTTCGCATGAATGCAAGCAACGGTGTTTGGTTGTTGAGTTCATGGAACTATTTTCAGATACTGAAACTCCCGAACACCGCTGGACTTCAATGATTGCCTACGTTCGATTTAACAACACTTAGCTAGACACTGTTCGGTGAAATCTTTCCCAAGAACAAGGGGAACAAGCTCCAGGGTAAGACTATTGACTATGTTCGGTAGTTTGTTTATTTTTAAACTACCGAACTAGACTGACCACAAGCCTTGATTCTCTTGAACGGTTTTGGGCATGGGACCATGCGTGTGGTCAGTCAAACAAATGACATCCAGGAAATTCCTGAACTGATTTGGGTGATTTTTGGATATGTTGGTCACCCAGATCAGTTTTGCTCTGCCCGGGACCTTCTCCTGTCTGCTGCTCGCACCCGTACAGCCAACTTACGCTTGCAGGACTTCTCGCGGTGGCTCTTTTCCTTTGGAATAGCCTGCAAAAGTTCATTTATTTCAGTAATGAAACGTAAAAGGGGAAACTTATATATGAGATAAAAGCATTACATGCAAAGCAAGATAGTTCAAGCCCTGATTTGTCATAAGTGCGATGATTATGGCTTACAGCTCATGAAAACCCCAAATCCACAATCTCTGTAAATTAGAATATTACATGCAATCAATAAAACAAGGAGTGTACATAGAACAATATCGGACTGCTAAAAAGTATAAGCATGCATATGGACTCAGTACTTGGTTTGGGCCCCTTTTGCAGCAATTACTGCCTCAATGCAGTGTGACATGGAAGCTATCAGCCTGTGGCACTGCTGAGGTGTTATGGAAGACCAGGATGCTTCAATAGCGGCCTTCAGCTCTTCTGCATTGTTCGGTCTCATCTTTCTCTTGGCAATTCCCCATAGATTCTCTATGAGGTTCATGTCAGGCGAGTTTGCTGGCCAATCAAGTACAGTAATCCCACGGTCATTGAACCAGGCTTTGGTGCTTTTGGCAGTGTGGGCTGGAAAATGAAGTCAGCATCCCCATAAAGCTCGTCTGCGAAAGGAAGCATGAAGTGCTCCAAAATCTCCTGGTAGCCAGCTGTGTTGACCCTGGACTTAATGAAGCACAGTGGACCAACACCAGCAGATGACATGGCTCCCCAAATCAACACAGACTGTGGAAACTTCACACTGGACTTCAAGCATTTTGCAGTGTGTGCCTCTCCATTCTTCCTCCAGACTCTGGGTCCTTGGTTTCCAAATGAGATGCAAAAGTTGCTCTCATCAGAAAAGAGGACCAGGTCTGTTTTTCTTTAGCCCAGTTAAAACGCTTCTGATGTTGTTAGTTGTTCAGGAGCGGCTCGACAAGAGGAATACGACATCTGAAGCCCATGTCCAGGATCCGTCTGTGTGTGGTGGCTCTTGATCCACTGACACCAGCCTCAGTCCACTCCTTGTGAAAGTCCCCAACACTTTTGAATGGCCTTTTCCTGACAATCCTCTCCAGGCTGCGGTCATCCTTGCTGCTTGTGCACCTTTTTCTTCCACATAACTCTCTATTAATGTGCTTTGATACAGCACTTTGGGAACATCCAATTTCCTTCGCAATTACCTTTTGAGGCTTTCTCTCCTTATGGAGGGTGTCAATAATGGTTTTCTGCACAACTGTCAGGTCAGCAGTCTTCTCCATTATTGTGATTCCTACTGAACCAGACTGAGAGACCATTTAAAGGCTCAGAAACCATTTGCAGGTGTTATGGCTTACTTAGCTGATTAGAGTGGGACACTGAGTCTAGAATATTGCACCTTTTTCACAATATTCTAATTTACTGAGTTTGTGGATTTGGGGTTTTCATGAGCTATAAGTCATAATCATCGCACTTATGACAAATCACAGCTTGAACTATCTTGCTTTGCATGTAATACGTCCATCTCATATATTAGTTTCCCCTTTTACGTTGCATTACTGAAATAAATGAACTTTTGCAGAATATTCTAATTTTTCAAGTATCACCTGTACCTGTCCCTTGCTCTCTCCTAAAGGGCAACATGCTATTCTCTCCGCCAGCTCTGCTTCACTCCACCTTGTTTGCTACCTCCTGTCCTGTTGTGTTTTATGCTCCACCTCCTATAGACTAAGCTCGGTTGAGCAGGACCCTCTTCAACCTGTTGTTCCTGTAAGTTTTTGTAATTGTCTCATTTATGGTTATATCTCCCCCTTGGATAATATTGTGAAGCGCTACATAAATACCAGTAATAATAATTCTACCTGTAAAAAACTTTTTACAGTATTTGATAAATAATGTTGGATTTTATCCTCTTCCACTGACTGGAGTCACCTTGTGACTTCCCTGTCCAAGTTTGTGTAGGACTGTTGAAAATGTACCTATGGAAATAATTGTGTATAGTAATGATTTGCTATAGTGGATATAGAGGGGCTCTATTTTGAAGACAAGAGGAGAAGCAGGTGGCAGGAGGAATGACAGAATAAGGGATTGTTTACCTCCCTGTGGAGGAGATTTTATCCTGTCCCCATAGAAAGGATGGAAGGTGACTTTTTTTTTTCCATTCAGTATTCAAAAACAAAACACCTCACCCCCAAAACCAGTGGCTACCCCCATATAGGATGCAGAAGAGTAGCTAGGGCAGGTTAAGGCAGACTTTGGCACTCCAGAGTTGTCGACTTCCATTTGCTTTGCCAGCATTTTGGCTGTAAGAGCATTCTGGGATATGAAGTCCACACTGTCTGGAGTGTCGAAGCTTGCCTAGCCTGAGCTAGAACAGGGGTAGGTAGCCTCCAGCACTCCAAATGTTATGGACTACATCCCCCATAATGCTGGAAAAGCATCAGGGGAAGTGTAATCCAAAATATCTGGAGTGCCGAAGGTTACCTATTGTCATGATCTTGTGCAAGTCAGGGATGAGACTTAAACTGGGGTTAATTGCAGGGTCTTTGATATCTTAGACATACTAGTTATTACAATAAATCCTATAATTGTAGATATAGGAAATAGAATAGAAAATAATCCTATAAGGGAGATTATAGGTCTTATATACAGGGGAAATAGGAAACAGGATTTAGGCAATATGCACAAAGTTGAAATAAGGTAACCCTATAAAAGAAGAAGGTATAGGAAGTATAATAATAGAAGATAAACCTATAAGAGAGATTATAGATTCTATATACAGGGGAAATAGGAAAACAGGCTTTAGGCAATATGCCCTAGAACAGGCTACAAGAAAACTAAACATAAATAAATATAAATACTTAAAAAGTGTTGTAGTTGTTCAGTCTCTTTGGTTAAGAGGTTATATAGTAGTAGTTCCTTTGCGATGGATGCAAAGTAGATTGGAATATAAGTAAATCCGAGGAAGGAGTAATTAGATATCCACAAAGTAAATGAAAGTCCTGTGTTGATTTAAGTAAGCTGGATGTTCTGCAGGGAGATAGGGAATCCAGTTAGGTTTGCAGATATGGCATGAAGAAGAGTTATACAGGTAAGTTTGGAGCAGGTTGGTGAGTATTGCAGGATAAGTGGCCAATAAGGATATTCCACAGATTATCTCAGGTGCCAGGTTATGAAGTCGTCTCAGGCAATCATCAAACTTCAATATCAAGGCTACTTGCTTTGTCGGGTGTGGCCTTTTCTAGCAGAACTTGATTTCATGTTCTACAGGTGAGAGTTGGAGGTGACTAGTGGCTAGGGAGGCCACTAGAGGCGAGAAACAGGTACTGGAATTTAAAGGAACGGTATGAAATGGAAAAATTCTTGCTAGTCAGGATAGGAACCTGACACCTGTGCTTGAGCTAGAGTAAGGCAGCTTGAACTGGTGACCAGTTTAAAGTGGAAGCTCTAAGTGTCTGCTAGGTTGAGCCTAGGAAAAAGAACTGGTATCACAAGAAATGCAGTGGACCTTTAGGAGCAACCACCAAGCAGAGAAAAGAAGTGGTACACTGGTGAGGAGAAAGACTATTTGTCTGATTCAAAATACAAATACAAAAAAGGTGCCTCAGCTAGGAAGCATGAATATCCAACCAAGCTTTCAAAACAGACAAAAAATTGTGTAGCAGATCCGAGCAGCTAAATAGGGGCGCAATGTACACTGATCTCATTGAAGTAGTTACAGTGGCAGCAATACAGTCAATCCAAAATAGAGGCCAAACAATTTACTTAGAACACTTACCATCAAAGAAAGCATAGCTCACCATGTGGTATCACAGTGAGGAATTGGTAGGGTTTGATCATGTATTCATTAGCAGTGTTAACCTTGTGGAAATAAAATGTTCAGTATGTGAACTTCATTACGATTTAAATAAACTCTTTATTGCCAACAGGCTTTTTCTGGCAAGAACCAAACTAAATAAAACATCCTTTTATGGCCTGCATCCAGACAGAAAATGTACAGCCAAAAGTTCACTAGCTGGTTTTGAAGTGGTTAAAAATGTGAAATGAGGCCAGTATTAATTTTTTATTTGCTGCACTCACGGCAGGCTAATGTAGTCCAGTGCTATTAATTTAATTTTACCCATAACACAGTTTTGTTTAACCCCTTAAGGACACATGACATGTGTGACATGTCATGATTCCCTTTTATTCCAGAAGTTTGGTCCTTAAGGGGTTAATAGATTGATAGACATGCAACATTATATGATTATGATATTTTTTCAATATTTGGCTAGATTTATGCTGGTAAATATAAACTATATATGGACAAAGCAAAGAGGGGTTTATTCACTAAACTGTAAATGTGCACAGAGTAGTGAAATCTAAATAGGAAAATTTAGGGAAAAAATATCCATTTTAGTTATATTCAGAAATAAGCTATTTTAGCCAAAATTTTGCCATTTTTATTATAGTTCACTAGAATTTGGAATTTAGTGAATAAATTCCATATAGCTTGTCACTGAAATGAAAATTGTCAGGAAATGTAAGTGAATTTGAAATGAATTTCAAATGTCCCGCCAAAAAAGCTATGGATAGAAGTTCTGATTTGGTTAGGTTTATTTTATAGCCCAATAGGACAACATATGTGTTGATTAGCAGCAAAGTTTTTTGTTACTGAGTTTGGAAAGTTCATAAGTGTGAGGAGAAGCGGCAACTTCTATTCTGCGTCACAGATGCAGAAGCCTGTTATGTTCCTATTGAGAAGGATGGCTTGTAGGAGTGGTTCAAGTGACAGAGCAAATGGAAGAGGTGACAGTGACCACCTCTGGTGTGTTCCATTGGAAATTTGAAATGTCAGAGCTTTTATATTTGGCAATAGTAGTCGTCCACATGGGGTGGTATGTAAAGATGTCAAGAATGTTTATGAAATTAGGAGGAAATTTGAGGTGGGCCAGCACCTGGAATAAGAATGGCCACAGGAATTGGTTAAATGCCTTTTCGGCATCTATGGAAATCAGTGCTGTCAGCAGTCAGTGGTGCTGTGCAGACTGGGTTTTTTTGGTTTTGTTTTTTTGAGTGCCTCAACATATATTTCTGAGAATAGAGCCTCTCTTGCATTTGCCAATAGTTTACGGAGATGTAGGGGAGTTAAAAAGCCCTGAATACATTAATTTATTGCTAAGTTGGGGTAGTGATTATATAAAGTAGAGTAGTAGTGGACTAATATGTGTGCTATGGCATCTGGGTCTTCAGTCACAGTGTCTGTGGACGTACCGATTTTAAAAATCTGTCTAGTATCTAGTTTCCGTTTTAAGACAATTTGCTAGCATGAAGTCTGCCTTGCTTTTTTCATAGAATTTTTGCTTAGTCTACATATGGGCTTTGGAAGTATTAGCCATGGTAAGGGATTTTAATTTGTCCCTGATGGCAGTTAATTAAGTCAGTAATGCAAGCATTGGGTGTTGCTTATTTGCTTTCTCTAGATGTTTTAGTTTGGACACAGCATCTTGCAGCTGGCGTTTTCTAAGATTTGTGGCTAGGGATATCAAGTTTTCCTAAATAACTGGCTTGTGCGCAGTCCATACTATTCCCATTGAGGAGTCAGATGTGGTATTGATATGGAAGTATTCTCTAATGCTCGTTTTGATGGTTTCGACTTCTGTCTTGTCATGTGATAGTAGCGCATTGCGCCATGCGGACGTGTACCAAGCAGTGTAGACACATCGGTGGAATCTTGGGTGTGAAAACCCTTGGTCCACAAAGGAAGTAACAAGGGAGGTGTTTGGCCTCATATTATTATAGGTTTATAATCTTAATGAAAAGTGAACCTTGATGGGAATAGCCAGGGTGAGGGTGTTAAGGGTATCATAGAATATGACATAAGGAAGTCTCAGCTGCTAACTATGAGAGTACTTAGACAGACATTACGGAAACACACCAAATGTTTTAATTCAACCCCTATCAGAGCACCAGTTTGAGATAAGTGGGTGGGCACTTTTGTATGTAGTTTGGTACATAAGGTATCTGAGACCATGAATTATTAAAGACTCCCGTGATAAAGGCAGTTGGCGAAACATTGGGGTATTTTTGGTCTCCAAATATCTTTATTGCATTTTAGATTGTACATTTATGATAAGAAATGTTGTATCTAATTGAATAAATAAATATTTTTGCATGAAATTGTGTGCTGTGGGCTTTTTTTTATGATGTTGGGTAGAGTCAGCGTCAGTGTGATGTTTGCGTGGTCGGACCATGAGATGTTCAAGATTGTTGTCTAAGTAATCCAAGATTGCTTTTTGAGGGATATTAGAAATCTATCTATCCTGGAATGTGATTGATATGTGTGGGAGAGGTAAGTGTAGTCAACTGTAGAAGGGTGTTGGGACCTCCACACATCCAGCAGCAGGTAGGTGTCGATATAGCAATCAAATAGTGTTGAAGTCTCCACTTATGATTAGGTGTGTGTTTGAGTGCTGCGATATGGGATTGAAAAGAGTCCCAGGAAGTTTGGTCTGGAAAGGTCGGTGCATGGTCGGACCATGAGATGTTCACGATTGTTGTCTAAGTAATCCAAGATTGCTTCTTGGGGGATATTAGAAATCTATCCTGGAGTGTGATTGATGTGTGTGGGAGAGGTAAGTGTAGTCAACTGTTGAAGGGTGTTGGGCCCTCCACACATCCAGCAGCAGGTAGGTGTCGATATAGCAAGCAAATAGTGTTGAAGTCCCCACTTATGATTAGGTGTGTGTTTGAGTGCTGCAATATGGGATTGAAAAGAGTCCCAGAAAGTTTGGTCTGGAAAGGTCGGTGCATAGAGGGAACATAGAGTGAGCTGACATGTGCCAACAATTCTACCTCCAGAGTCTGTGGTTGTCGATATATATCGGTAATAGGGCAGATTGAGAGTAATAGGATGGCGACTCACTCAGACCTGGGCTCAGGGGAATTAAAGCAACAATGGAGTTTAAAGTGTTGGTTGACCAATGGAAAGTGACGAGAGTGTGTAAAGGGAGTCTATTTTATGAATAAGACATCTGCCTTTAAGTAGCTAGCCTAACATAAAAGACTGTGTCATTTTGTAGGTATATAAAGGCCTTTTGCAGTTATAGAAACACATTTTAAGTTAGGTATGTTAAGAGGTAGGGGCCAGCGAGTGTTAAGTTGCCTAGTGGGGAGGGTCTTGTGGTGAAGGGGTTTGGAAAGTTAGGGGTACCAGAGAGTATCCCCCACCATTTGCTATGTATTAGTACAGCTATCTACAGGACATGTGTAGGGACCAATAATGGTTACTTTCTAAATGGGTGAAGCAAAAGCTCCTATGTGAGTGCATGCGGGATATAGCGAAAGGCGCAAGAGTCCAGTCATGTCAAATATAAAATATTATATGTAAGTTGTTTATTCCATTAAAGCAACAAAACATTGGCAATTACAGAAAGTAAAAACAAAAAAGTAGAACATGGTATGATATCAATTGTAACGGAACCGCTGGCACCCCAACCGGATGCTCCTAGTGCTTTCCGAGGACTCCAAGCACTCCGCCAGACACCATAACCACTGTAGACTCCCACGAACCGCCACTGCTTGGTTGGGGTCTCGCCGTCTCCACTCACTCTGGACCCAAGACCAGTGTCCAGCTTCCAGTAGGTCAACCTCTCCGAATTCCAGAGAGCAGGAACAGGAGCAAGCTCTTAGCAGAGCTTAGTGATCATACCCTGGGGAGTATAGTGATTATAGCAATTCCCAGAGTGTAGTTCTCAAATCCCCCAAACATGAGCCGAAACTTCATGAAGGTACAAGATGATCTGATCTTTTAATGACCACACACTGGCTTTTATGCAAGTCCCCATGCAAGGGGACATCCCACAGGGTGGGACACAGTACAACCAATCATTTACAGGCAAACCGTAAAACACACCCAGCACAAGCATACAAAATCCTAGCCTCTGCTTAGAAGATATTTGAGTCAATTACTGTATCTACTCAATTATCTCCAAGCTGAAAAGTTACACTTTTTATACATTTGTATAACTTTGTGAGGTTACACCGTACATACAGACAAACATATCCAAAATTCACTTGAATAGGTTCAGGGGTTTAAAGGTTAGGTCAAAGTCCATTGTGACCAAAGGAAGCATGGCTTTTCCTGCCCAAACCAGTTCCCACTGGTCTGGCAGTGTCCCTGGGACAACTCCCTGCTGGAGAACAATGGAGCTGGGGGTGGGGAAGAGGCACACCTTCCCATGAACTCCAAGGGGCA